GCAGGATGGTCTCCAGGCCACAGTAGTTCACGGCAGTGCTGGCAATCATCATGGAGGAGGTCTCCTTGTCTGAGCCGGGGTCCCCTGCTGGATGCCAGGTCACATCTATGAAGAGGGGACCACCTGCCCCCATCCGATCAAACCTGTAGGTAATTTCTTTCTGAAGAGGGGCTCCTGAGAGCACACGGCCCTTCACCACCTTCCCATGGGCTCTGGGAGGGAGGGATACATCACAGGCAAGTCATAACCAGATGACCCACACTCATATCTGGGCGCTGCTACTTAGTAGCTGTGTGATCTTGGGAAAATTAATCTGACTGGGCCTCCGTTACCTCATTTCAAAAATGTGCCAGAGAACAGTACTTCATAATAATAACACTGTGACAATATTACCATAGATGGCTCCACAGCCCTTGGAGTACCAACAGTGCTTGGTACATACTGAACACTCAGTCAATGGGAACTCCTGTTACGACGATGATTTTTTTTTAACGATTTTATTTGAGAAAGAGAGAGAAAATGAAGGGGGATAGAGGGGCAGAGGAAGAGGGAGAAGCAGACTCCCCACTGAGTGCGACCTGAGATCAGGGCCTGGGCTGTCAGATGCTTAACGGACTGAGCCCTCCAGGCGCCGCAATGATGATGATGATTGCAGAGATAACTGGTATCAACAATGCAACCCTTTTGTGAGAGGGCAGCCCTGCAGCCTTTTCAAAGTGCTTGCACTTGTATTATCTCGGGTGAGCTCAGACATTTTGCTAGTCAAAGGTATGGGGAACTCTCTGAGTGGCAAGCAGAGGCTCACTCTAGGAAGAGGAAAAAAGAGGGTGAGCAGACACAAGCTTCTTTCATGCTACACTCCCCCCAACCCCCGCCCGCCTCCTTGTGGTGCAGCAGCCAGCAGGCTTCTAGACCACGGCCACGGTTCCTGAACGAGACTCAAGAGCCACAGATGTGCACACGCGCCTGACTGACCAGCTGTAACATGGTATTTAAATACCCTGGGGCTGGGGCACCTGGGTTGCTCAGTGGGCTGGATGTCGGCCTTCGGGTCAGGTCACTGATCCCAGGGTCCCGAGATTAAAGCCCCACATCGGGCTCCTTGCTCAATGGGGAACCTGCTTCTCCCTCTCCCTCTGCTCCTCCCCTTGCTTGTGCTCCCCGCATCAAATAAAATCTTATTAAAAAAAAAAAACCTCTCGTGTCTTTGAACTTCAAAACTTCCAGAGCGACACATGAAAAATGCAAGTGGTACAATGCATAAACTTAAAAAAAAGGAACCACAAATCATAAGGCGCTAATGTAATTCGTTTGGCATTTCTAGATTGCAAAAGGTATTTAAGTCGAATTCCTAACTTAACTGAAAATGTTCTCCAAGCCACTGCTTTATGACTTCCTAAACTGTATTCATGCGTCAGTCCCAAGTTCCACCAAAGAACGCAGTCTGAGAAAATCAACATTTTTAACTCGTTGAAGAATGTGTCTAAAAATTCCAGATGCAGGGCACCTGGGTGATTCAGAGGGTGAAGCGTCTGCCTCTGGCTCAGGTCATGATCCTGGGGTCCTGGGATCGAACCCCAGATAAAGTCTGCTTCTCCCTCTCCCTGCCTCCCTGTCCCTGTCCCTGCCTCCCACTTCCTGCCTCCCTCTCCCTGCCTCCATATCCCTCTTCCTGCCTCCTGCTCGCGCGCGAGCGCACTCTCTCTCTCTCTCTCTCCCAAATAAATCTTTAAAAAAAAACCCAAGGGACTTCTGTGGACAGCTGAGAAGCTGCAGCTCCTAGGTCTACCCTGCTCTTTTCCACCCCTGCTGGCTGCCTTTTCCTGCCGGGTCAGAGTGTGACCTCCCTGCAGCAGGGCTGTGGCTTTGCTTCCCCTGGGGTGGGGGGGCCCTCATTCTGACCCCACCTCCCCAACTACATCAGCTCACCTTGAGATGAGATTGACAGCCCCCTCGGCCGTCCGAGGAGGGAAGAATTCTAGGGAGAACCACTTGTCCCCAGATTCCATCCTCCGCCTCATCTTCTCCCTGAGTCTGTCGTGGCGCTCGGGGTCCAGCCCAGGTGTGGAACATCTCGAACTCTCCTTAGAGCTCTCGCTGCCACTGCTGCTGCCCTCCGAGCGGGGAGGGGGGCCGCCATCCCCTCTGGGTTCGTTCACCATGGCCAGGTTCCGGCTGCAAGGAGTGGGGGCAGGAGTGTCAGAGGGCAGGCAGCCAAGTCCTGGAGCGGCAGGGTCAAGTGAGATGTGGCGTTTCCAGCAGGAAGAAGGCCAAGGAGGGTAAGGGTAACAATGCCCCTACCCAGTGGCTCCACATACTACAGCTGTGACTGTCTATGCTGCCTCCCTCAACGCTTTGCCCTCCACAGCCGCCTGGCTCCACATAAACCAGCCCCCACCCGGCACAGAAACATGCTCCTTCTGCCCAGGGACCCTCGGTGACAGCTACCTGATGGAGGGTGGCACTGAGAACCTCACCCTGTCAGCCTCCAAAGTCCACAGTCCTAGGGAGGGGCCGTGGGATCTGGAAGGGAGAACCTTGGGTGTTGGATGGTCCATCTCCGCCAGCTGGGACCCAGAGTGGGTGGGGAAGAAACAAAAGGAAACTTCCCCAGCGAGTGTGTTCCTCTGGGCGGAGGGAGCAATGACAGGGGAAGAGCCCAGAGCCAGACTAGCTGGGGCCCTGAGCAAGGGGGCGGGGGCAAGGCTTTCAGGCGGGAGGGAGGGCTGAGGCTCTAGTTGCAGAAGCCAGATGGAAGGAGGGGGATGTGGACTGGAGACTGCTGGGCTTGGTAGACAGGAGGCCAACAGAGTCACCGGATTACTCTCCAAAGAAGGCAGAGCTCAGTCTGGCCCTGTCGGGAACATCTCCTGTTACTTAGAACAGTTTGTCTGCATGATGGATGGAAGGAGTGTGGGCATGACAAAGGAGCCAGACTTCTCCTGAGTTCGTGCTACTCCAAAAAGTGGCACGAACTGTCATGGGTTAGACCTCGACACCAGCTGGGTTTCACAAGTAACCGGACCCAAGTTCAATTAAGGGCATGAATTTGTGTCCTACTCAGAACAAAAGCTGTTGCATCCATGCCTGCCTTCCAGGCTGTTCTCCTTACACACACCACGCAAGCTGGTTAATTACAGTGACTGCACAATCACCACATACGAAGCCCTAAGCCATGGCAACCACAGGCAGGCCAGCGGAGGGCACGGCGTCACCGGCCAGTTTAGTGGGGAAAATGAAACAAATACTTAAAAACGAGACAGAACAGAATTCTTGAACAGCAATGTGCAGACACACACTTTTAGTAGTGAAAATCCTATGTATGGTGACATGGGGCATCAGAGGAACAACCAGGCCAAGTTCATTCCTTTCAGGGGATAGTCACTGCTCAGCCAGGGTTGGTTTGTTTGTTTGTTTGTTTGTTTGTTTTAAGACTTTATTTATTTATTTGACAGATCACAAGTAGGCAGAGAGGCAGGCAGAGAGAGAGAGGGGGAAGCAGGTTCCCTGCCAAGCAGAGAGCCCGATGCGGGGCTCGATCCCAGAACCCTGAGATCATGACCTGAGCCAAAGGCAGTGGCTTAACCCACTGAGCCACCCAGGCGCCCCTCAGCTGGGGTTTTTAACTCCTTGGGGGTCCTAGACTCCTGAGAAATGGATGAACTCTACTGCTCCTTTCCCCTGCAACACACACAGGGGCACATAACACCAGTTTGTACACCCACAGTCAAGACCAGAGTAAAAACACTTGTACCAATGACTTTTCTTCCTAGGGATGCCCATTTTTTATCCTGATTTAAAACTCCAGCTTCTCAGCAGGGACGGCCAACGGGAGTAAGGAAAGGGAGAAAATCAAGATCAGCCTAGCTGGCTTTTCTCCTCAATTCAAGACAGTGGCTCATTAATTGTCTGCTGGAACAAAACCAAGAGAGGGGGAGGAAACAGAACTACCTGCCCTTTCATTTATTTAATACAGACTTACTGCCTTCCTAGTAAGTGCCAGGCACGTGCCTTCTTCAGCCTCCTTCCTCACATCACTTCTTACCCATCTTAAAGCTGGACTCCCACAGGGCCATAGGATTGTATTTGTGGATTCATAGTTTTGACTCCTCTCCAACCCTCCAGTCCCCTGAGACCAGGGCGCAGTATCCTGCCTGTGGCATCCCCCATGCCCAGCACAGTCATCACAGCCAGCACTCAGTGAGCGCCAATGGGTCAAGCGCTGTCACTCTGTTCTCAAAATAACTCTCTGCCATTTACTGACCACTTGCTTAACCTGTGCCGAGCACCGTGCAGTGCGCGAATACGAAACTCACCCCGCCCAGAAGGGCCAGGGTGGACACCTGGGGGCAGCCCGACACAGTGGGCGCCGGACACTGCGGTACCAGCGGCCTACAGGTGCTCAGCTGGGAGGCAAGTTTAAAAGACCGGAGCCGGAAAGACGCCTCCGGCACCCTGCTAGAAGACCACGAATCGAGTCACCCGGTCACTGGGTCAAGGTGGGGGCGGGGACGCGGGCCCAGACCCGGTCCCAGGGGGCCGAGTCATCACCCTCGTCTCAGGGCCGCCTCCTCCCCGGGGTCCCCTCCGTCCACGCCGGGGACCGAAAGCGAATTTTCCGTTCACAGCTGGAAGTCCCTGGGGGTCTCAGCCATTGGCGGTTACACCAGCCCCCCAACTGAGGGGTCGCACAGAGAGGCAGAAGCCCACTGCCTAGAAGGGCGGGCCGGCCCCCTCACAACCCCGCCCCCGGGTGGGTGGGCCTCACTTCCCGGATATCCCTCCCTAGCGACCCCACGCCTCGCCTCCACTCACCCTTCCGTCGCGGGTGACTCAGAACGCGCGCGCCCGAAGCCGCTGCTTGACCAGTGTGTGGGAGCGTGCGGCTTGGGGGTGGGGGGCGGGGCGCGGCGCAGGTGTCAGGTTGCCGAGGGAGGCGGGACCAGAGGGCGGAAACCATCCTTGCGAACGACCGGAAGTCCGTCCCCAACATGGCCGCGCCCAAGGGAAAAGGGTCTTCCACCGTCATGTGACGCGGGCCCTCGCCCCACCCGTCTGCAGCCACTCCCTGTCTCCGTCCCAGGCTCGAGAGGACCACGTGACACTGTCGGGGACCAGTCACGTGAGGCGCGGATTCTGGGTGGGAGGGGGTTGGCGGAGGGTTCCAGAGTGGCAGTAAAGGAGGGAGATGGCGGGGTGCAGGGGGTCCCTGTGCTGCTGCTGCAGGTGGTGCTGCTGCTGCGGTGAGCGTGAGACCCGCACCCCGGAGGAGCTGGTAAGGAACGCGCGGAGCCCAGCTGGGGAGGGGGCGGTTGCCTAGGGACGGTGAGAGGCGTTGCCGGGGGTGGGGCCGGGCCGAGCTGGGGCCTCAGGTGGCCGCGGGCGGGGCCCGGGCACCGCATCCTCGGCTCTCCAAGCATCTGCCTCGCTTCCCGTGCCCAAGTCTCTGGTCTTCTTCATAACCCCTCCCTTGTAATCTGCGGGAGAATCCAGGCCCTCTCCGGTTAATCCCATCCATGTTTTCTTTTATTTCCATGTGAAAGGAGTTTTGAATGAAGCGAGCGTTGTCAGAATGAGCCCCTTCGCTGGACTCGGTGCTTATCCAGCGGCTGGCTTAGTTTCTCCAGCCCTTTCTGACTGTATCCCTCACCTTTTCTGGGTCATTGGTAATCCAGCTTCCCTCTGCAAAGCACCCTGGGAAAACTTGAGTTGCTGTGTCCCAGAGTTGACAGGTCCCTTCTGTTTTCAGATTCAGTACATTATCCGATGGATCCTGAATTTTTTTCTCCTTTATCTGGCATGGGAGATCTTTGACGGGTCCTGAAGACAAGAGTGGTTATTTAGAGAACGTAACAGTAGAAACGAAGAGCTCACCTGGAAGACTATAGCCGCAGACATCACCCCCATCCCAAAAGTGGTTTTTTTTTTTTTTTTTGAGATCTTGTTCCCATTTGATAATAGTTCCAGATGGTTTGGAAATAAGCAATCAAATTTTAGTAAATAGTTATGTCTCTTTCTACTTTTAATCATTTGATATTTAACCATTTAACCATTCTGTGGATCTATTTTCTAGACCATCCTTGGAGAAACACAGGAGGAGGAGGATGAGATCCTGCCAAGGAAAGACTATGAGGTGAGATTCTTAGTTGCTGCCTTGGGTAAGAAAAGCAGTGAGGGAGCTGGTCACTTCAGACAGAAGCATTAGGATTCTAAGGAGGGATGCTCTTTGACGGTCTCTCCCGGGGAGTGAATGGGTAAGAGGTAATTTCCCTCTCTGAAAGGGACTGTTTGACAAGCCCTTTCTCACCATCACCCCGAAACAGGGTCTGATGTGTTTCTATGCATTCATAGATCTGTGGTACCTTAACCTCAATAGAGCATGTTTGCCCTTAAACTATTTACTTTTACAACTAGAGACTGAGAGTAAAAGCAGCTGACGGTGCGTGCTCATCATAACAGCTGTGGGACAGGAGACCTTCCTTCTCTTCTTAGAGAACTTTCCAGATGACTGTTTTCCTGCCCAAACAGCTTCTCTCTGAAGTGCTCTCTTTTTTTTAAGATTTTATTTTATTTATTTGTCAGAGACAGAGAGAAAGCATAAGCATGAGAACTGCAGGCAGAACAGGCAGAGGGAGAAGCAGGCTCCCCTGCTGAGCAAGGTGCCGGATGTGGGACTCGATCATGGGATCCTGACCAGAGCCGAAGGCAGATGCTTAACCGACTGAGCTACCCAGGTGTCCCTCTCTGAAGTGCTCTGGATTGTAGTTCTAGTTCAAGAATAGGATTCTAAGAGTGTGTGTGTTTAGTAAGGCCGGCGCTGCTGGAGTAAAACCAAACCAGTTTGCTTTTTTATCATTTAATCAGTTTCTGATAATGTTTCTGTGACTTTTGAAATAACAAAAACAGGCCATGGTTCTGATAGAGAATTGTTAAGCCATTACAAAAAGAAGTTAGAGAAAAACGCATTACCCCACCCACTAAAAGATAACTATGAACTTTACTGAATACCCTTTTCCATGCTTACATTCCTGTTTTTTAAAAAATAACAGAAGCGAGATTCTGCTACATATATTAACATGTTTTCTCCTTAACTTGAAAACAATCTTTCTATTGTTAATACATTACTACAGTTTTTTTCAAATTGAGGAATACTTTTTTATTATGCCACAATTTATTTAATCTGATTTTTCTATATGGTGAACTAGTCTTGACTATTCTTTTCTTCTTCATCCTTAATTGCTTCTTTGAGCAATTCCAAGAAGTGTGATTAATCTTCTATGTTTAGTGCTTTCTTGAAAGTGTCACGTAGAGGGGTGCCTGGGTGGCTCAGTCAGTTAAGCTCAAGTCATGATCCCAGGGTGCTGGGATTGAGTCCCATATGGGGCTCCTTGCTTAGCAGGAAGCCTGCTTCTCCCTCTCCCTCTGCCTCCTTTCCCCTGCTCATGCTCGTGCTGTGTCTCTCTCAAATAAATAAATAAAACCTTAAAAAAAAAAGTCTATGAGACAGACTTTAAAAATTCAATATTTTAGGGCAATAACATACTTAGACTAATTTTCTTTTTTAATATTTTCTCTTTTGCTGTAGAATTTTGTGGAACTGTTAGGATTTATTAGTATAACATGGAATTTTGAAAAAACTTTCATCATGGAGAATTTCAAACATAAAGAAGAATGGATAGAATAGTATATTGAAACCCCCTATACTCATCAGTTTCAACATTCATTCAGCTCATGCCCACCCTTGTTTCGTCTGGCTCCCATCCCCTTCCCATATTATTTTGAAGAAAATTCTACACATCACATCATTTCACCCATAAATAATTCAATTTGCATCTCTGAGAACAAGGATTTTTTTTAGCACACCACTATACCATTTTCATACCTAAGAAATTAACAGTAATGCATTGATATTAAATATCCAGTGTTCAGATTTTCCAGTTGTCTTATAAATGTCATATAATTTTTTAATGTTCTGTAATTTTTTAATTATTATTAATTATTATTTATTATTACTCTTTGGCCCTAGTTCCCAATAAGGTCCTCACAGTGCATTTGTTTGATTATCTTTTAAATTTTCCTTAAACTTTTTTTTTTTTTTTTTTTTTTTAAGTAATCTTGACCCTCTACATGGGGCTCAAACTCACAACCCCAAGGTCAGGAGTTGCAAGCTCTACCAACAGAGCCCACCAGGTGCCCCCCTTTAACATTTTTTTTTCAATCCGAAGATTCCTCCTTCATCTTTTTTGCCCTTGCAGTTTACTTGACAGAATAATTTTTAGGACTCTGGAATTTGCCAATTGCACTACCATGGTATAGTTTAACGTGTTACACTGATGGAAATGCTTTTAATGAATCAAAGTCAAAAAGCACGGTATCTACTGATGTATTTTCCAATATTTCTAAAATATTTGTCTCCTTGCACATAGCTGAGAGGTTTGCAAGAATTGTATAAGAAGCCCCATACTGTGCTATTACCTCACACTCCCTCACTGAACCCAGTGATGTCACCATGACTGTGTGAGCGTGACAGGAACTTTCTGGCAACCTTCCTCTACTCCCTGGAGCTCACCACGGCTTCTCTGCTCCATGACCCTGCTGTCCCCAAGGCTCCATCTCTCCTTTTACTAAAGTGCACTTGTATTTGTAATGCATTTCCGTTCACCTGATACGCATGTTTATGTAAATTTTATAGGTTAATGTTTCATGTGAGTCATTAATATTTCTCAATGAACTATCTTCAAGTAAGTGCTTTTTCAGAACATTTACTTTGTATAAGAGCAAATTTAGCTAGACACTTACTCTGAAAAGTCTGCTCAGGTTTGACTAGGGATCAACTAGAAAACCCTTCTGTTGAAAATCTCTCTAAAATGTGCTCTTTCTCCTTCCTGCCTCACTAAGAGTTCACTGCACCTACTTGAGTGACGTTAGAATCCCTGGTTTGACATCCATTCTCATACTAGGTGGTCTGATTAGCGATAACCCTCTATCTGTGGGGTGGGGCTGTTAATAGTGGTGTTTTCACGCAGGTCACAACCTGTGTTGCTCTTTTGAATTAGAAAAAGGCATCCCTCAGAGCAGAGGACTTAGAATAAAGGACCTCTCCCTCTGGGCCACAGCAACTCCCCTAGCTCAAGTGGGTGCTGCTTGTGTAAGCACTGAGATGACCTTCCTCGTTGAACTTGGGTTGCCTTTCAGTCCCGCTTACCCCTTTGACCACATGCTATTTATAACCTCATTACCTTGGGCAGCCCTGCAGAACACCTATACAAATTTTTTTTTTTTTTAAAGTTGTTCCCCCGCCCCTCCCCACCACACACACAAAGAGCAGAATACAACAGAAATAGAAGAGAGTTCGTCATCACAAAGGAGAATGAAACAATATCAGGTTTTAAGAACAGGTCCTATAGTCCCTTGGTACATATTTACAAAATATCAAATCAATTTTTAAAAAAGAAGAGATTGATGTTCTGGTGTTAGGCATCCCATTCTTTTACTTAATAATTTTTGCATATTTTCCACCTCTGTCTCTTTGGATCTTTCGTAATTACCTTATTATTATATAGTCTCCCGTATTTGGTTGTCTGATCATTGATTTCATAAGCTGCCTGCTTATGCCCCTTTTTAAAAAAGGGATTTGGACTTTGGGTATAGATGTAGGTGGAACAAATTGTCACATGTCACACCTGTGTTCGGCTGACTGCTAAGTCATGCTCAGAGTGTGGCCACAATGTCTCGTTTGTTCAGCAGCTGATGTGTTGGTAGCAACAGGTTTAGGGAGGAGAGAACACAGCAGACCATTTTCCTTTGTTGCCAGACGCCTGTTTCTCTTAGAAAACATAGAAGAAATAAAATTAGTTTCTTTGAATTGTTTCTCAAGATGTCTCTGGCACACAGGCAGATTTTTTTTTGCAGAATATCTGTGTTCTGTGAAGAGAGTCAAAGGAGCACGGCTGGAGACGTCCTTTTAGGAGCTGCGTGAAATCCCTACCTCTTCCTAACATGAACTGAAAGTTGCTTTTCAGAATAGTCTCCACATTGGTTTGTCTCGTGACTAACCTCTTCCTCGTAGAAGCTGACTATGGAAGATACTTCCAATTAAATGATTTTCTAAATTAATTTGGTTCCGGTGAATTGAAACTTTCGTACACGTAATAGGATAAGTCGGGGAACGCTGGTGGTAGCCGGAGGGCTTTTCAGGTTTTGCAGAAGCAGGAAGTTCAAAGGTAGGTAACTAAAAGCTTTTCCCGAAGCATGAACCTGCAGCTGCACTGCCGAAACATTCGTGTGCGTCAAGCACAGACTCCCTCGAGGCAGGTCCGGAGGTCCGAGAATCTGCATTTCCAACCAGCTCCTCCCCGGGGGGCTGCAGGTCCATTGCCCTGCCCAGCCACACTTCGAGTAGCAGGAACGTGAAGCATCACCCCTTTCCAGGTTTCCCTAACTCTTCCTATCTGCTTGTGACCTTCTCACTCGCGTTTCTCTTCCAGAGTTTGGATTATGATCGCTGTATCAATGACCCGTACCTGGAAGTTTTGGAGACCATGGATAATAAGGTGAGTCCCTTATTGATCTCTTGGGACTGAATAGATCTTACAGCAGGTTCCCTTTCCCATCTTAATGTCCCCGTAGATAGCTTTACCCCATGGCTTTCAGCCCCTTTCCTCAGACCTCTGCCAACCAAAGTACCCACTTCAGTGCACCTGGCCTGGGCTCTTAGAGCTCATCCTTCTGGGAAAGCAAAGCACCTGTCATACCAGATACCACTACCAGGCTTGCTGTCTCTGTGAAATTTAGCCTAAAACTGGTTGGCCAGGATGTGCTACTTCCCTGCTGCTGACAAAACCACATAAGAAACTGAGTCTGTCTTTCCCTGTGTGAACAGAAAGGCCGCAGGTATGAGGCGGTGAAGTGGATGATGGTGTTCGCCATTGGAGTCTGCACTGGGCTGGTGAGCAGGCGGGGCACAGGGGGCCTGGTGGGCGGGGTGGGGGTATGGTGGGTCAGAGGGGTGGTCATTTGTCCTAATAACTGAGACTGCCTTTTTTCTCCCCGCAAATAATAATCCTGACACTGCTTTTGGCACTTCTCTTGCTTTCACTTTATGAAAGTGAATCCTACAGCGCTGGTGTTCTTTAAAGCACTCAAAGGCTTGGTCAGGACCAAGCTCTTACAATACGGTATGGTTGTCAGGTGGACAACGTAGTCAGGGGAGCACTGCATGGAAATTGAGGTCACTGTAGGGAAAAAGCAAAACAGTGGGAAAAACTCAGCCGTTAGACCCTTTCCTTTAGTGTGGCGTGCCAGTAAACAGGACACCATCGATCTCAGTGAATTTATTGTGCTGTCCTGGGCTTCTGTCCGGCGCACTGCTTGTTTTATCTAAAAGGTGGAGCTGGCAGCTGTGGGTAGAGGAATGTGCCCGAATGCACAGGGTTCTGGAGTCCGTTTGCTCACAGATGAATCACAGACAAGAAAAGATTATGAAACACTGCCAGATTGTGTAGTAGCACAAGGCCTGGAATCCTAACTGCTGACCTAACCACACTTAAAATTGGGGAAGAGAAACTGGAAAAGTCAGCAGCCAATCAAAATTATATCTGTCACATCTGATTTCTATCACTACAGTGTTCAGGTAGGCTGCTTTTGTCCATTCGGGCTGCTCTAATAAAAATGCCATAGACTTGCCGGGGGCTTAAACAACAGATGTTTATTTCTTCCAGTCCTGGAAGCTGGAAGCTCAAGGTCAGGGTGCCCACAGATCAGTGTCTGGTGAGGGCCTGCTTCCTGACTCCTGGCTGTTGTCCTCACAGGGGAGAAGGGGGAAAGACCTCTCTGGGTGTTTCATAAAGCCAGTGATCTTTTTCACAAGGGCTCCATGCTCAGGACTGAATCACCTCCTAAAAGGCCCCACCTTGTAATGCCATCCTAGTAGGGGTTAGAATTTCAGCAGATGAATTTGGGGGGCGGGGACACAAACGGTCAGTGCATAACAGGTAGTATATATATATATATTTTTTTTTTCCTTTTTTTTAAGATTTTATTTATTTGACAGAGAGAGATCACAAGTAGGCAGAGAGGCAGGCAGAGGGTGGGGGGAAGCAGGCTCCCCGCTGAGCAGAGAGCCCGATGCGGGGCTCCATCCCAGGACCCTGAGACCATGACCTGAGCTGAAGGCAGAGGCTTAACCCACTGAGCCATCCAGGCGCCCCTAGATCATATATATTTTAAGCAGCGGCCTGTTTATCTCACCGGAACTGACTACAAGTTTCAATCTTGACTCTGCGTGATATACCCATAGGATGTAAGCCCGTATTTAGTATGATCTAGCCATAAAGGCTGACCAGTTTTTATTTTCCTAGCATTTGTCAGATTTTTGCTGCAGTAAATTCAGAGGTCCAGGGAACATTTTTCTAGTTAAGACAAAGGGCATTCAGAAGACCTCTTTGGTAACATTCTATTATGGGGAGAACTTGGGTTGATTTAACTGTTATGTTGAAATTTCAAGGTGTCTGTTTTGCTATGTATGTTTCTGGTTGGAAATGTCCCTGTAATAGGTATAATCACGAGCCATCTACTTGTTAGTCTTTCTGCTCCTTTCCTATCACACTCCTTTGAACTGCCGTTTACCAATGCTAGCAACTTCTCCAGTCCCCTCACGTCCCCTCACGTCCTCTCATGTCCCCTCTTGCTGCTGGAAGGCAGATTTGCCTTTATAACTTAGCAACCAGCCCTTTTCCTGCTGGCTATCTTACCCTTCGATCTGTCACAACCTATTGCTTCAGTGTTTAAAAGCCTCGGGGCGTTGGCTTGAGGGAAGGCCAGAGGCTTGAAGCCTTTGATCCTGAATCCACCAAATAACAAGCCTTTCGGTTCCATGAAGCCCAGAGCAAGGACTTGGGGCTTAACGTGGACTGCTGGACTATGAGTGGTTTTCTCTGCCTTAACAGGGTAACCGTTGGCTGCAAATCAAAATAGTGACTTAAAAATAGTAATAACAAATATGCAAAAGCCATATACACCTGAGTAAAGGGTGTTTTTCAAAGTAATATCCTAAGTTATGTGCTAACTCAGCTAAGAATCACTGAAGATGTTACTGGAATTCTTCTGAAACTGCCTCCAGAAAATGCTGAGCAGCCCCTCACCCAGTTCTGGGTGATTTCTCTAGTCACGGGATGGTCTTCCTGGATTTTACATCTTTTCCTGCAGCCTTTCCCTTTGTTTTGCTCCCCGTCTCTCAACTTAACTGCGTGTGCGCCCTTCTTTTGTCCTCTGGAGGGGCGGTAGGGCCAGGCTGGCAGGGAATCTCCTGGCACGTCAGTGACTAGCAGGAAAGGCGTTCACTCTGTGCCTCTTGGTGCCGTGGGTGCGTGTGCCAACCGGGAAGGGCCAGGGGGTGAAGTGCGTGTGCCACTGAGGGGAAAAACTGAGTGATCGTTTGCCTTCTCTTCACAGGTGGGTCTCTTTGTGGACTTCTTTGTCCGCCTCTTCACCCAGCTCAAGTTCGGAGTGGTACAGACATGTATCCTTTCCACGGCTCTTGGTGTTCCCACATGTCAGCAGTTTCTGACCCTGTTTTCTTGTTTAGAGAACAGGAGACATGATCTAGAGAAGAGCTGTTTATTAGCCTTTTGGCTTAAGTTTTTATTTATCGTCGTAGGACACAATAGGAAGTCGTTAAGAGAACCTCGTAGTCAGGTTGGTAAGACATAAATGCCACAAAGATGCCTGTTCTTCCCAATCATCTATAAATTCAGTGTAGTCCCAATCAACACTCCAATAGACTTTTTTGTGGAACTGGAAAATTCTCTTCCTAAATTTGTTGGAAAGAGTAAAGGGCCAAAGTAGTTGAGACAGTTTTTTTGTTTTTTTTTTTTTTTTTAATTTATTTGACAGAGGTCACAAGTAAGCAGAGAGGCAGGCGGGGTTGTGGGGGGAAGCAGGCTCCCTGCTGAGCAGAGAGCCCGATGCAGGGCTCGATCCCAGAACCCTGGGATTATGACCCGAGCCGAAGGCAGAGGTTTAACACTGAGCCACCCAGGCGCCCCGAGACAGTTTTGAATAAGTGTGACACTTGCCCTACTCAATGTCGTAATTTAAGATATAGTCGTTGAAACCATTTCCTATGGGTGCAGAAATTCCCATTTAGGCCAGTGGAAGATAACAGGAGCAGAAATTGGTTTATACATATAGAGAAGTAGGGTGGATGTCAGAGTTAACGTTGTAAGTCAGTGAGGAAGAGACGGACGTAATAAAAGACACTGGGACATTGGATATTCATCAGGAAAAATACAGATTCCTACTTCGCACCATAAATTAATTCCAGATGGATTGAAGATGTAAATAAACAGGCAAAACAAAACTCTAATATGGGATGTCAAGAGTAGGGAATAGTTTCTTAAAACTCCAGGAGGCATGAAGTGAAAGGGAATAGATCAATAACCTTGACCATGACAAATTTGTTTTTCATACAAACAAAAAAAACCCAAACCACGACAGTAGAACACCATAAAGAAAGTGGAAAACAAATCTACAGCCTAGGAGAGGCTACTCACTGCATTTAGGAGACAAATAATTAGTATTTAGAACACCAGAAGAACTGCAGCTCAAAAAGAAAAAAGCCCAAACAGCCCAATAGCAAAATGAGCGGAGGGTATGAACAGGCAATTCTCAGAAGAGGAAAATGGAATGGTCAGTAAATATACCTGTAGAAAAGGGCTCCCCTCACCATTAACTAAAGAGATGTAAATTAAATAGGTAGCAGGGGACACCTCCCCTGACTCCTAAGTCCCTCTTTCTCATGCGGACCTTAGACATATGCAAAAGTGTTCATTACAGCTCTGTGATTACAGGAAGGTGAAATCACACCAAATGGGAGAACAGAAAAATTATGTGTTCATATGGTATAATTTTATGCAGAAGTTAAAAATCAATGGACCAGAGCTGTGTTTATCAACATGGCGAATTTTCAAAAACTCAGTGTTGAAGGAGAGAAAAAAGGGAAGTGTAGAATATGCATAAAGTGCAATCACATTATTTTCATTTTAGAAGCACATACAACAAATGGCTGCATCTAAAGATGCACAGGGAATGGGGCGCCTGGCTGGCTCAGCTGGTCGAGCCTGCCACTCTTGATTTCTGGGTTGTGGGTTCAAGCCCCACTTTGGGTATAGAGATTACTTAAAAATAAAATTTATTTTATTTTTTTTTTTTTTAAAGATTTTTTTTTTTTAATTCATTTGACAGATAGAGATCACAAGTAGGTAGAGAGACAGGCAGAGAGAGAGGAGGAGGCAGGCTCCCCGCTGAGCAGAGAGCCCGATGTGGGGCTCGATCCCAGGACCCTGGGATCATGACCTGAGCCGAAGGCAGAGGCTTTAACCCACTGAGCCACCCAGGCGCCCCTAAAAATAACATTTAAAAAAAAATGACACGCAATAATTTCAGGTTAGTGGTTTTTCCCAGGGGAGAGAGAGAAGGAAACAGGATTTTTTTTTTTTTTAATGGTATCTAACATTTTAATTTTTAAAACCTAGAGCAAGTGTGGCATGACACCAAGATTTGTCAATGTGAGGGATGTGGAGGGAAGGCTGTTTATTGTTTTTTGTGATATTTCAAGTGTTGATTTGAAATGTTGGGGTCCAGGAGCAAATGGTGAGAAAGGATTCTTGAGACGTTTTTGGTACAAAAGAGGTGGTTTTATTAAAACACAGGGATAAGGCCTTTGGGCAGAAAGAGCTGTACCAAGATTGTGAGCAGTGATGGATTATATACTTTTAAATTGGGAGGGGTTAGGGATAGTATTAGGTCTTTAAGGAATTGGGGAAGCAAGGTTTGCAGGACGTTGAGGGGCTAGCTGCTGTTAAGATAAGGTGATTTAGTACTGCCTAGTGAAGCCTTAGTTCTGACACCCTTCAGGTGGCCGTCAGTGGGCCATGTGCTTGGAGGATGATCGCTAACCTGTATCTTGGGGAGGACCGGTAGAGATAAAGGAAGTTTCCAAAGGGATTTTCATTTGTTAAAGACAACTTACGACTTACGGGATCCTTGAGGTGAGGCTACCGTCCAGCTAAGGTTGCCTTTTGCCTCTAGCAAAGCATTAACATGGGTGCAGTCTAGCGGCCTGAGGAAGGTCACGCTGCCCGCCTCAAGTGTTTGCCGAGCCGAGTTGTAAGGAGATTTAATTTTTTCTACATTTCTTTTGCCTTTGTGTTCCCCACATCCGTATTTTTTAAATACGGTATAATTTAAAAATAGTTCCCGGGCACCTGGCTGGCTCAGCCAGTGAAGCATTCAAGTCTTGATCTTGGGATGATGAGTCCAAGCCCCGTGTTGGGTGTGTAGAGATTATTTAAAAATAAAATATTTATAAAAATAAAAATAAATTTAGAAGGTGGTTTCTGATGTAGAAGATCTCTCAAGACAGGTTTTTTTTTTTTTTTTAAGATTTATTTAGTGGAGGGGGGATTTATTTATTGGAGGTGGGGGCGGGGAGAGAGAGAGACTCTTAAGCAGACTCACCGCTGAACGAGGAGCCGATGTGGGGCTCGATCTCAGAACCCGAAGATCGTGACCTGAGCCGAAATCACCCAACTGAACTACCCAGGTGCCCTCAGACAGAGTTTTTGTTTTTGTTTTTGTCTTTTAAGTTTGCATATGGAGAGCAGGAAGATATGCAGTAGGCAGCCAATATGTTTTAGAAGAAGAGACGCCACACCATTTCCTGCCAGTGATGGCAGGAGTGCCCCTGACCTGGAGCATGTTTTCCTCAACCCCGGTTCCATAGCGGTGGAGGAATGCAGCCAGAAAGGCTGCCTCGCCCTCTCCCTCCTTGAGCTCTTGGGTTTCAACTTGACCTTCGTCTTCTTGGCAAGCATTCTTGTCCTGATCGAGGTGAGGCGGTGTGGGTGTTGCCTTTTGGCTGATGAGGTTTTGGGTTCCTCCCTGTCCCCTTTTGGAATGTCAGGAAACTGAATTAGGCTTGGGATATAGATTCCTACAGAAAGTGGCGTCTCCGGCTCCTCGAGCTGTTTGTGGAAGTACAGGTTTCCACCTCTGGTGAGATGACAGAGGAAAAGTCCCCCTTAGGAGGGGGGGTTCTCAGCCTCAGCAGCACATTAGAATCACCTGGGCAACTTTAAAAATGACTCTAAGTGACTTTAAAATACTTTAAAACTAGCCTTAAAAATGGCTGCTACCCAGCTCAAGTGAGTGAGATCCGAATCTCCGGAAGTGGAGTGCCAGGGTGGACGCCAAGGCCCACGGGCGCTGCGGAAGCCCCGGCACTTGACAGGGATGCGGCTGGGTCAGAAACCCAGGGCGGGGCCCAGCATCTGTGCCGACGGGCCCACCAGGTGATGCTGACGCTGCTTGGGAAGAAGGTCGGTTCCCCAAGCCCCAGAGCCGGTGGATTTCGAGTTCACGGGCATCCTTCTCTCCCCCTCAGCCAGTGGCAGCGGGTTCCGGGGTCCCTGAAATCAAATGCTATCTGAATGGCGTGAAGGTGCCCGGAATTGTCCGTCTCCGGACCCTGCTCTGCAAAGTCTTTGGAGTGCTGTTCAGTGTGGCTGGAGGTGAGGAGGGTCTTTCTGACTTCGAGCCTTCCGAGGACCGAGGGGGGACGGTGACAAGAAGTGCTGTGCGTGTGAATTCAGTAGATTTGGATTCGAAGGGGCTGCCCGCAAACGGACCCCTGCAGTCTTTGCTGATGGGTTAAATGTAGACCCTTAAGTTACCAGTCAGAGATAACCCGACTCACACACACTTAGTTTTGAAGTGGAAAGACCGGTTAGTTGGTTTGTGGAGTTGGCTTTTAGGAAGGTCAGCAAGATTTTTGTGTAAACAGCCAAACAGCAAATATTTTAGGCCCGATGGGCCAAGAGGCAAAATGGGAGATAGGATGTAGGGACTTACACGTGTATAACCATTTGAAATAGATCTACGTGAGAATGTAAAAACCATTCTTCGTGCTTGGGCTGTAGAAACAGGCATTGAGCCTGTCTTGGCCCACAGGCTGTAGTTTTCTGACTGCTCATATTAAGGAATATTTTTTCTGATTTGATGAGAATTTGACTCTTGCTCTTACAAAGTTACATATACTCGCCTCTGCTGTACAGTTGTCGAGAGAAAGGTCTGCCTAGCAAAGGTCTCCTAACCGAGAGAGCTTTCTGTGCTGACGGATGGTCGTCCCCTTTTCCACCTATTCCCAGGGCTCTTTGTGGGGAAGGAAGGCCCCATGATCCACAGCGGAGCAGTGGTGGGAGCCGGCCTCCCTCAGGTAAGAGCTGGTGGGCTGCGAGGACACAGCCCTCAGCAGGGGGCCCCTGGGCAGGGCCATGTGCGTGGTTGAGTTCGTGACACATCCATTGGGAGCATCTAACATGGCCTTGGAAGCTGATGTCCGTTTGGGTGGGTGTGAAACTGTCCCATCACCCAGCAGAGAGGGGCAACTGGCACCCCTGGGTTTTAACAAGGCCCTGCCCTGTACTCAGAGCAGCGATGGCACGTAGAGAAAGTCTGTTCAAATGGAAGTCAGCCGGTGCGCCCGCAGCCAGAGCTGAGCGCCGGCCCATCAGGCGGTCGTGGATCACCACTGCGAAGCCAAATCCCAAGGGGCTGGGAGTACTGACCAAGATGGTTCCAGGCCCAGGTCTATAGCAAGGCCATTTGTAGGCGCACCAGACTGCTGTTTGCCGACATGCTGTCGGGGCCAGACTCTCTGCATCCCAGCTTCTTTCTTCTTTAAAACCCCCTGCAGGGTTTGCTTGTCCTCGTTCTCCCCATCCTCCATTGAGGAAACCGAGGCTTAGAACTGGCTCGGGACCCTAAAGGCCCCCTTCTTCTTTTTTTTTTTTTTTTAAGATTTTATTTATTTATTTGACAGAAGGAGAGCGATCACAAGTAGGCAGAGAGGCAGGCAGAGAGAGAAGAAGGGAAGCAGGCTCCCCGCTGAGCAGAGAGCCCGACGCGGGGCTCGATCCCAGGACCCTGAGATCATGACCTGAGCTGAAGGCAGAGGCTTTAACCCACTGAGCCACCCAGGCGTCCCCAAAGGCCCCCTTCTTAAGGGTTTCTCAGACTCCCCAGCTGCAAGGTTGGGATGTCTCTGTTCTTTGAACCGCCCCTTGGAGACGGTTCACTCTCGTGCTCTGAGGGGAGGGAGTCACCGTGGCTGCGGGTTGTCACCGACAGGAGAGAAGACTCTCGTCCAGAGTCCGTCTGTTGGTCTCTCTCTTGTTACTGCTTCCCCTCCTTCACCTCAGGCACTGGCCTCCCACAGGTGAGCTGAGAGGCGGAAGGAGGCCAGGCGAGGACAGGGCAGCAGCGTGAGCACTCGCCGGGGTCGCTGGAAGCCGGCTCTTTGCGCCCCTTCCGTCCTGAGCGTGGCCCCGAGCAGAGCCTGCTTCATCTTCTGCAGCAGCTTTCGGTTCCTCCCTCCACTCAGCAGTTCCCCTTTTTCCGTCTTGCTGACTGTGTACCAAACGTGAACCGTGATTTCCAAAGATCCCAGAAGTCTGGGGGGCAGGAAGAGAAGTTCCTTCCAGAAGTAACGTCTTTCTTCCCCCCACATTGCAGTTCTGGCCTCTTCCTTCTTGCAACACATCTGCCCGAGTGTCCCCAAGCAAAGGGAACTTTCTGGCGCCTGGGATTCCTGCAGCTGTGGTCCCTGTGCCCGCCCTCCCCCCCCACCCTCACTTTGTTTTCTCTCCGTCTAGTTTCAGAGCATGTCCTTACGGAAGATCCAATTTAACTTCCCCTACTTCCGGAGCGACAGGTATGGAAACCCGACCCAGTTCGTTTGCTGCCTACTCAGCGCCCGCTGTGGTCTCCGTAGCTGGCTCCCGGGCTGCCCTGCTGGACAGGCTGCGTGCGGAACCCACCTGTCGGAGTGGAGGGGGGTTGGGATGCTTCTGAAAGTAAGCATGAGGGCCAGGCTAGCTTCAGGGCTTCTGTTTTGTTGTGACATGAGGCCTGGAACCATCTCAGGCAATGAAGAAGACGTGGTCCAGTATTGAAAACACGACCAGGGAAGTCCACAGGCGTATTACCAAGAATGTGTTTTATAGTCCAAAATAACGTACTTGGTCCGCCACCTTTCTGGGTTGGAAGGTGCTCTTCTGGGTACTTTCTCGCCCTGTGGGATTCGTGCGGGTCACTGACGTGCGCACCCCGCTCAGCCTTTGGAATCGAGGCCAAGGTTCAGAGTCGTCCACCTTCTCCCGTCTCCTGTCGGGATTCCTGCGGGTCGCCATTACCCGCTCCTGGCATTTTCACTGCTGCTGTGGCTTTCTTTTTTTTTTTTTTTTTAAAGATTTTTTTATTTATTCATTTGACAGATAGAGATCACAAGTAGGTAGAGAGACAGGCAGAGAGAGAGGAGGAAGCAGGCCCCCCGCTGAGCAGAGAGCCCGATGTGGGGCTCGATCCCAGGACCCTGGGATCATGACCTGAGCCGAAGGCAGAGGCTTTAACCCACTGAGCCACCCAGGTGCCCCACTGCTGTGGCTTTCTGGGAGAAAGATCTGGTGAGAGTGTGGCTCGGCAGGCACTGACGGAAGTCTGGGCTCTGCCGCCTCCGCCGGTGGCTGAGATCCCGCGTTCAGAGTGGCCCGATGTCAGGAGCCCTCTGACTAAGGCGGGGGATTCACTCTTAGGGAAACCATATTTGCTGGGGAGTCTGCCTCACCAGACACCTGGCCTCCGGAAGCCCTGACTGTTCATGGGTCATGAGACACGATGTTGGTGGACAAGGAAGTGAACACCTGCCTTTCAGGGTCTGGACTGTTTTGGGTAAGTCACTTCTCTGTTCTCCCCACAGAGACAAGCGGGACTTTGTGTCCGCTGGGGCAGCTGCTGGAGTTGCTGCAGCATTTGGGGCCCCTATCGGGGGTACCCTGTTCAGTCTGGAAGAGGGCTCGTCCTTCTGGAACCAGGGTCTCACGTGGAAAGTGGTAAGGAGGACTTTTAGTGAAAACATCTCCTTAAATTTAGTCAATCCACCTCCCCCCAGAACTGCAGTGGACATCTCTGACTTGGTGCAGTCCCCTGTTGTTTTGATGAGACCAGGAGGGCTGACTTTATTAGGAATTCCTCTGCTCTAGACACACAATCTCCAAACCATAGACTTTTCTGTACTTTTCCTGTCATCTGCAAATCACACTGCCATTGTCCTCGCTTGATGAACCATCTGGCCTGAAAACGGGAGACGGGGGCCCACAGTGGCAGAATCTGGACTTGAACACTCCCTAGCCTCCTCCCTCAGACTAGTACGTTCCTCCTCCTGTGGTTACTGTTCCTTCTGGGGCTCAAGGTCTAGTCCGCAACAGGCTCTAAATGAAGAGACTCTCACAATAAGCTAACGCGAACTTCTCACAGCCCGTCTCACAGTCTTTGCACCCGAGGAGGGCTCAGGGCAGTGGTGACCAGGGCTCTGTGTCCAGACCCGGGGGTGTGGGTTTCTCAGTGTGGGGGAGGGTTTCTGAGGCTGCACCTGGGAGAAGGTAGGTCCTGTTCCTCCTGACTGTTCTCTCCTGTCTGTCCCCTCTCTCCCAGCTCTTCTGTTCCATGTCTGCCACCTTTACCCTCAACTTCTTCCGTTCTGGGATTCAGTTTGGAAGTTGGGGTTCCTTCCAGCTGCCCGGATTGCTGAACTTTGGGGAGTTTAAGGTATGTTTCATCCTTCCATAGTTTTGGGGGGGTTTTCTTGTTTTTGTTTTTGCTTTACACCCTGAAAATTGTTTTTAAGTAAAGTAGCAGAGCGCGGTGGTCGGAAGGGTCGGCGGAGCTTCTAGTGGGTCTCTCTGCCCTAGGAGTCTCCTGTGCGTGCTCCGTGCTCGGTGCGCGCAGGCGTCTGGTTCTGTATTGGCTCGCGGAGATGGAAAGTGGGCGCGCTGCTTGTTTCTGGCTTCCCTGCTTCTGTCCCTTCCTGTTCTCATGGGTGCTCTGGTTTTTCTCTCTCCCTCCCTTGCCCCTTCTCTCAGTGCTCTGACTCTGATAAAAAATGTCATCTCTGGACAGCTATGGATTTGGGTTTCTTCGTCGTGATGGGGGTCATTGGGGGCCTCCTGGGAGCCACATTCAACTGTCTGAACAAGAGGCTTGCAAAGTACCGTATGCGAAACGTGCACCCGAAACCTAAGCTCGTCAGGTACCTGCTCGCCTCCCCTAGCCTGCCGTGGCTCCCTGAGCTTCGTGTGGGCCAGGCCGTCTCTCCCGAGGAAGGCACTTATAGGAACGGATTCTACTTCCCACGCCAGCTTGGATTTCATGTCTAAGACTAAAAATGGAGAAGGGTTGTAGATCTCCTCCATTTGTCAGACGGGCTGAAAGGCTGTCTGAGCTTCGTTTGTATCAGGGGTGCTGTTTGCCTCCCGGCCACGAGGACACATGACGAAGTCAGAAGGGTCAGTGCGAGTCAAGGCCCAGGACCTAAAGTAGAAGCCCGTTTTGTTCCTCAGAGAGAGATGCCGTGGGTGTAGCCGCCCATGTTCCTGGCCACCCACTGTTGACTTGCACATTGCTAGAATGGAGCGAGTTGCTGACAAATTCCGCACGGGTCCTGACTACTGGCTCGGGGCTGCTGTGTGTGCGTGCTCTTGGGGGAGAAGAGGATCGGAGTAGACAGGGTTGTGTTTTCAGTTCCTGAGGCTGGGGTGTCTTTTTTATCTTGTATGGTAACAGCTGTGCTTTGCTTTCTAGAGTCTTGGAGAGCCTTCTGGTGTCCGTGGTAACCACCGTGGTGGTGTTTCTGGCCTCGATGGTGTTAGGGGAATGCCGACAGATGTCTGCTTCGAGTCAAATCGGTAATGACTCATTCCAGCTCCAGGTAACCCTGTGCACCTGCTGCCCATGTCCTAGACCCCGGAGAGGGAGAATCCAGAAATGGGTGACCCACCTCTGCGTATTGCTAATAGCCGCGCGTTGCCTCCCCACTGTGTCAGACTGCTGAGAGAGGAGTCCGTGGGATCCCTTCCCAGAAAAGAGGGTGTGCGCGCTCTTTTTCACTCTTACGTAGACTCACAGCCATTACAGAGCGGAGCTCTCTCTTTCTCTCTTTTTCTGTTGAACAAAATTACCTGGGGCCGAGCTCAGGAAGCAGACCATTGCTTCTTTGACGAGCCCCAGTTGACTCTTCTACCTCTTCAACGCCGAAAGGTGCCCCCAGCCTCACAATTGTGAGCATCACCCTTAAGACGGGGAGAAAGGAATGTCTGCCTCAGGGTGATCGGCGAGCTGGCTTTTCTGGCATCTCCTCATTCTTTCTTACTGGGTTTAGGTCATTTACTGGCTTATGTTCTTTTTCCATTTCTCCTTCTCTCTTCTTAGGAGTAGGAGTATATAGTGTTTTCTGGAACTTTTCCCAGAAAGAGCAGAGGCAGCGAGGGAGGCATTGGAGCTCACTCTGCCCTGTAATTTTTTTGGTCCAAGCCTGTGGGTCCTAAAGCTGCATGTGGTCAGCCAGAGGTGTGGTTCTGGCCTCTAGGGTAGAGGCTCAGGAGTGTCCCCAAAGTACCCGGTCGTCCTCTTGTCCCTGAGTAGCCGCTCATACCCCTCGGGGCCTTGTTGGGGGCTTCGTCTTGGATGGCCGCCCCTTTGGCATCCCCAGAAACGTCCACGAACGGCAGCATGGGTTAGATCAGGGCTTGGCAGACTGCCGCCCGCGGCCAGATTGGCCTTTGGCTTCTGCTTGTTTTTGTAGCCCCCGAGCTAAGAACGGCTCTCGCATTTTTAAAGTTTTTTTTTTTTTAAGATTTTATTTATTTATTTGACAGACAGAGATCACAAGCAGGCAGAGAGAGAGGAGGAAGCAGGCTCCCCGCTGAGCAGAGAGCCCGATGTGGGGCTCGATCCCAGAACCCTGAGATCATGACCTGAGCTGAAGGCAGCGGCTTAACCCACTGAGCCACCCAGGCGCCCCTTAAAAAGTATTTTTAAGAAAAAAAAGAAGGTGCAACAGAGACTGTGTGGCGTACAAAATCGAAAATATTTACGAAGTGGCTCTTTATAGAAAATGTGCAGTAACCCCTGCTGCTCGGTGGTCCTGAGGCTACCTCGTTACCAGAGCGGTGTTTTCCAAACGCGCCCTGCGGAATATTGGTACCTATGAGTCACAGACGAGTGGAGAAGAATCCTGTGGTCTGATGGGTGAGCCAGGATTGAGTGAGTTGCTCTAGGACAGGCCCACGGAGGGCGCTTACGGTTCTATCCGTGTCACAAGTGTTTGGATGTAGGTCGTGTGCCTGCTGTGCCGCTAAGCACCTCACGGACGTGACTTCATTGAGTCCTTAACCACCGCCATAGGCTGGTATTATTATCTCCATCTTATAGGGCAGAAAATGGAGACAAAGTAAGGTCTGTTTTTTTCTTTAAGATTTTATTCATTTATTTATTTGAGAGAGTGACAGCAGCAGAGAGAGAGGGAGAAGCAGGCTCCCCCCTAAGCAGGGAGCCCGACGATGCGGGCCTTGATCCCAGGACCCCAAGATCGTGACTTGAGCTGAAAGCAGACACAACACACTAGGCCACCCAGGCGCCCCACACAACGAGGTCTTGACCGTGATCTCAGCTAGTGCTACACACCGTGAGGTCAGCATTACTCGCATGTCACGGGGAGGCAGCCGAAGCTTCCTGGGATGACCTGCCGCTGCCACCGTTGCCGAGTCCGAGGCAAGTCTGCCTGATGCCAGAGCCTCTGCTCTGCCTTCAGCTGGTTCTCTGATCTCCAGCAAGGGCCGGGAAGCATCTCAGCACGTTTGGCTGCAGGATTCTTTCCAGGGAGCCCTCAGGGCTGGGATTCCTCCGGACACAGTCTGTGAAACGCTGTGTGCGTGGATCGTTTCATGGTCGCCTCTTTCCTGAGCCACACACATTGCTCCTTTGGCTGCTCCTCTCGCCCAGGTTCCTCCAGGAGGGGGCACTGCCCTGCTTCCCGTGGCGTCTCCATCTGACAGTCCCCATCCGCATCTCACCCTGCATGGGGCTCTCGGGCCAGGCTTCCAGCAGTAGCACTTAGAAAATTGAGCACTGCGAGAGGAAGCAGAGCCGGATCCGTGGTGAATTTCGTTGTCGTAGCTCAAGAGCCCTCGTCCGGATTCTTTCCTTCTCAGAGCGTAAACAATACAGTATCACAGTTGGCTGCTTTAGCTAGAGATTGATTCTTTGCCACCTGTTTCATTTCTGGGTAAAGTTTGCAAGTCACACTTTCTCAACCTCACTGGAGACCTCCCATTCCGAGATTTTGAGCGCCGTGGTCAGTATTCTGACTTCGTACGGACCTCGTACTGACTTTCTGATTCCTGTATCTTAGGTCACATCAGAAGATGTCAACTCAAGTATCAAAACCTTCTTTTGTCCCAACGAGACCTACAACGACATGGCCACACTCTTCTTCAATCCCCAGGAGTCTGCCATCCTTCAGCTTTTCCACCAGGATAGTGAGTATCTGTGAGCCTGCCCGTTCTTGGGGTGGTTGATCTTTTTCTGCAGGGAACAGATGATGATTCCTCTGCCCCTGCTGTTGGCCTACAGACACAGCCAGGCTTACCCTCAGTTCTAAGCAAAATAGGACTTTTCCTTTGTACTAACAACCCAAACAAGGCTGGAGCGTCTGCCTCCAGTGTTGGAGCTGAACCGGTGGGGTGTGGAAGGACCTGGAAGGGGTCAGGGCAGCTCGGTGGGCCTTGGTGGTGTCTGGTGGTGGACTCGTCGGTTCTTGCGTCACAGGTACTTTTAGCCCCGTCACTCTGGCCCTGTTCTTCGCCCTCTATTTCCTGCTCGCATGTTGGACCTATGGCATTTCGGTTCCAAGTGGCCTTTTTGTGCCTTCGCTGCTTTGTGGAGCTGCTTTTGGACGTTTAGTTGCCAATGTGCTTAAAAGGTAAGTGTGCGCGTGTGTGCGTGTGAGCATGCCCGAGTGTGCATGGACACAAGTGTATGAACCTTGTGACTCCAAGCCGCGGTCTCGGCTTCTTTCTTGCCCAGCTACCTCGGCCTGGGCCACGTCTACTCAGGGACCTTCGCCCTGATCGGTGCCGCCGCTTTCCTGGGCGGGGTGGTTCGCATGACCATCAGTCTCACGGTCATCCTCATCGAGTCCACCAACGAGATTACTTACGGGCTCCCCATTATGATCACTCTGATGGTGAGTGCTCCCCTCCCAGGCCTGTCTCCAGTGCAGGGCCAAGTGCACCGCCCCCCCCCCCCCCAGCAGCTTCTTTTCGAGTCTTTGTTTTGTGTTTCAGGTGGCCAAATGGACAGGGGACTTTTTCAACAAGGGCATTTATGATATCCATGTGGGCTTGCGAGGGGTCCCACTCCTGGAATGGGAGACGGAGGCGGAAATGGACAAGTGAGACCGTGCTTTCCTTCTCTTCTGTTCTGGTTTCAGAGTTTATGATCTTGGGCTGTGAGGGCTGTGTGCATCAGGGTGGGAAGTGGTGATGAAGATTCTGGGGTGGGAGTCCTGTGAACCGGTAGATAGCTACAGGAGGAAGTGGCTGGATGTGGCGGGGAACTGGGGGATGGAGGTGGGTTTGATGTGGCTCCTGTGGCCTTCTGGTGGGACCTGAAAGGAGGACTCAATCAGGGAATTCTGACTGCACGTTTCTGCCTGGGGTCTGCTAAGCCCCATGAATGAGAACCAGCCTGCCTCACACGTGCCCCACGAAATGTCATGTCATCAGGAGTTTGGGCATAACCGCCAGTTTATCCATCAGCCCGCAAATGGTTTGGGGCTCCTGTGTGTGGGGACCCCACAGGGCCCTCGTGGTCCAACAGAGGGATCAGCAAGCTTCTGTAAGGGGGCAGATGGTAAATATTTGTAGCTTTCTGGACCACCTGGCTGCCATTTCACTTCCTCCGCTTGGTCGCTGCAGCGCGATGGAGCCGGAGGCGACACGTAAATGAGCGGGATAGGCCAGGTTTGACCTGGGACCTGTGGTTGCCACCTGGTTTGAAGGGATGGCCCAGACTTTTCTCTTTTCTTAATTCTAGTTGTATCATTAGCAGTTCAGTGATAATATGAGGAACGTGCCATGGAGGGCTCAGGAGATGGTGGCTAATCACCTGGGCAGGTAGATGGGGTTTGTGGTGAGGGGACATCTTGTATCGAGCAGAGGAAAGGCCCACCAGTTTGGCAGAGCAGGGAAGGGCGTTTGCACAAGCTAGAAGTACAGAGAAATGCATGTGTTCAAAGAACCATTCGAGCTGGCTCAGAACAGGGAGTGCGGTGGTCTGGGCCGCCCAGGATTAGCCAGGGCTTGCTCCTGGGATACCACGGGCTCTCTCGTGAAGCGGGATGGCTTCCCTCCGTCCCCCAGGCTGAGAGCCAGTGACATCATGGAGCCCAACCTGACCTACGTGTACCCGCACACCCGCATCCAGTCTCTGGTCAGCATCCTGCGTACCACGGTCCACCATGCCTTCCCGGTGGTCACGGAGAACCGCGGCAACGAGAAGGAGTTCATGAAGGGCAACCAGCTCATCAGTAACAACATCAAGTTCAAGGTATAGCAGCCCGAGAGGAACGGTGGGCAAGAAATAAGCCGCTCGTTGACGCACGCGCTGACCTAACGCCTGCCATACCCCACAGATGGGGGCACTGGTGGACTCTCAGGGAGAATCCGCCTCTTCGTCCTGTGCGGCAGGGAGTGTAGACATGATAGCGAGTGTGGACGTCGTTAGACCATCAGGACATGTGTCCTGTCTCACCCCAGCAAGCGCGCAGATGGATTTTTTGTTTTAATCACTATTTTTTATGGCGTGTAAGTAGTATCAGGAGGTTTCTAGGGTTGCCTGGGACAGAAGTGGACTTTGGCCTACTTAAGAAAGAAAAAGAAATCGGCTGGAAGCTGCAGGACTGACAGGAGAGCTGGAGGATCAGAGGTGGCCCGCCGGGCATGCAGGCGGCTCGCAGTCACCCTGGAGGGTGTTGGGAGGCAGGGGCGCTAGCTCTTGCTCCTGAGTTGAAATCCAGGTGCGGGCAGAGTCCCTCAGTCGGGCTGTGAGCCCCTGTGGCTCCGGGGGCCAGGGCACACGCGTTGTCAATCCCTCCATGCTGCGGCGCCGGAGAGCGGCTCCCCCTGGAGAGTGAGGGGCTGTTCCCATACCAAAGGAGTAGGGAAGTTGGGCAGGCAGAACCTGCGGGGTCTACAGGCCCTGAGGTTCAGAGAGCGACCCTTCCGCCCCAAGCCCCCGAGCCCCCGTAAAGTCGGTAGCGCCCGACTCCACTGCCACCCGCATCCTTGAGCCGCGTGGATGCCGTGGGTGTGTACCTGTGGCCAGCCGTCCGCGGCCTGCCCGGTAGAAACCCCTGTCCCTGTCACCCCTCCCTACGCCCAGAAATCCAGCATCCTGACCCGGGCTGGCGAGCAGCGCCGACGGAGCCAGTCCATGAAGTCGTACCCGTCGAGTGAGCTGCGAAACGTGTGTGACGAGCACCTCCCCTCCGAGGAGCCAGCGGAGAAGGAGGACCTCCTGCAGCAGATGCTGGAGCGGAGGTGAGAGCGCACCGCCCCCCGCCCCCCTGCGCGCGCGCCGCCCCCGCGGCTCCCGGAGGTCCAGTGCCCTGCGTGGAGGCAGCCCCCGAGCTTCCGGGGACTGGGTGGGGGGTGGAGTCTCTTGGGGCAGTGGGTGGGGGGAGCGAGAAGCAGTCCTGCTGCGGGTGTGCTAGGCAGCGTCTGGTTTCTACGTAACAGATACACTCCCTACCCCAACCTATACCCTGACCAGTCCCCGAGCGAAGACTGGACCATGGAGGAGCGCTTCCGCCCTCTGACCTTCCACGGCCTGATCCTGCGGTCGCAGCTCGTCACCCTGCTCGTCCGAGGCGTTTGCTACTCGGAAAGCCAATCAGTGAGTCTCTTTGCTCTGCGCCGGGATTCGGGAAGGCACGAGGGTGGTAGGAGCACAGCCCCAGTGCCTCGCGGTTAGGGGCCTGCCGAGAGCTAGTACTCGGGGAGCCCGAGTACTAGTGCGTCTAGTGCGCACGTCTAGTGCGGCTGGCTGTGCTGCGGCGTGTGCAGCCCCACGGCCCCCTGCTGTGCTCAGTGCCTCTCGGGGGGCTCTACGGTCGGAGTACGCCCCCTGTCACCCTCCCCTTAGTCTATGCACTGCTTGTCAAGTGTCCTTTTGGCCTGGAGACTCTTTTTTTTTTTTTTTTTTAAGATTTTATTTATTTATTTGACAGACACCGATCACAAGTAGGCAGAGGGGCAGGCAGAGAGAGAGGGGGAAGCAGGCTCCCCGCTGAGCAGAGAGCCCGATGTGGGGCTCGATCCCAGGACCCTGGGACCATGACCGGAGCCAAAGGCAGAGGCTTTAACCACTGAGCCACCCAGGCGCCCCCTTTTTTAGATTTTATTTATTTGTGAGAGGAAGAAGGGGCAGAGGGAGAGGTTGAAGCAGGCTCCCCATGGAGCTCATAGAGCCTGAAAGGGCTCCATCCCAGGACCCCCAGATCATGGCCTGAGCTGAAGGCAGATGCCTAACCTGCTGAGCCACCCAGGCGCCCCAAGCCTGTAGACTTTTTTTTTTTTTTTAATTTTCTTAAGTTTTTTTTTTTTTTTTTTTAAGATTTTATTTGTCAGAGAGAGAGCACATGCAGGGGGAGCACCAGGCAGAGAGGAGGGGGAGGCAGGCTCCCCTCTGAGCAAGGAGCCCAATGCGGGACTTGATCCCAGGACCCTGAGATTATGACCTGAGCCAAAGACAGACGCTTAACCAACTGAGCCACCCAGCTTCCCACCTATAGACTTTTAATATAGTTTCTACAGTTTGATTTCTGGTATAAATGAACTTTTTTACAGGCTTTTTTTTTTTTTTTTTTTTTAATTTCTTCCCATTAATTCTTTTGTAATTTTCCCTTTTTTTTTCCCTTTCATTTGGTTTTTGTAGAGATAAGGAGGGTAGGTGTTTTGTTCAAAGTGGTCCCTATAGTGACCTGAAGACCCACCCATCCCCACACACTTCACCCCCTTTAGAGGGAACCTGAAAAGATTGTGCAGAGACCTCCTTTCCCGAAGGACTCTCCTAGCTCAGCTCTTGCTCCTGGGTGGCCGTCCAGGTGCCCAGTGAGGGCGAAGGGGAAATCCAGAAGACTCGGGATGCAGTGCAGGGCTGTGACAAAGCTGCTTTGTCTGATTAATTGCCACAAACCCAGAGGCTGCAAATGACAGAAACCTTTTCTTTTCACAATCCTCAGGGTCTTACTACCAAGTGCACACATCAGCAGGGCCTTGATCTCCGGAGGCTCCAGGGGAGAATGGCTCCCTGCCTTGCTCGTCTGTGGAGGCTGCCAGCCATCCCGGGCACTGCTTGACCTTAGACAGGTCCCTTCAGTCTCTGCCTCTGTTGTCACGTGGTCTTCTCGCTCTGTGTCCTCTTCTCTTCTTAGAAGGACACCAGTCATTGGTCCTAGGGCCCATCCTAGTGCCGTCTGACCTCATCTGAACTTGCTCACGTCTGCAGAGCCCCTGTTTGCCATGTGGCCATGGGCACAGGTAGCAGGGGTTAGGACTCAACACACATCTTTTGAGGGACACACGTCAACTTAAGACCTATTAGTTCTTCTCCCACTTAGGCTCCAGGACAAGCCAGGTCCGTTTTACCGACAAGGAGAAGCCAAGTTAGAGAGAGATGAGGAGACTCACTGAGCGGAGCACAGCAAGGCCTGGCTGGGAACTGGCTCCAGACCAGGGCTTCTCAGGGCAGAGCCCCCGTTCTGCACCGCCTCGCACCAGGTGGCGCTGTGGCCGGCGGTGTGACGTAGAGGGGAAGGGGCTGTAAGTGTGCCCCTGCCGCTGGCTGTCCTGGGTGCAAGGACCTGTCTCTGTTGGGATTGCAGAGCGCCGGCCAGCCGCGCCTTTCCTACGCCGAGATGGCTGAGGATTACCCGCGGTACCCGGACATCCACGACCTGGACCTGACGCTGCTGAACCCGCGCATGATTGTGGTGAGCAGGGCTGTGCCTCTGGGGTGGGGTCCTCCTCTGCATGTTCACGCCTGCATGTTCACGGTGGCCGCAGGTGACTTGTGTGGTCTTCTCTGCAGGATGTCACCCCATACATGAACCCCTCGCCCTTCACCGTTTCACCTAACACCCACGTCTCCCAAGTCTTCAACCTGTTCAGGACGATGGGCCTGCGGCACCTGCCTGTGGTGAATGCTGTGGGAGAGGTGAGTCCGGCTTCTGGCTGTGCCCACCGCCACGCCTGCCTTCCAGAAAGAACCCTGTCCCTGCTGCATGGGAGTCAGGCTTCCCGACCAGCAGGGTTTCTCGGCCTACAAGCTCTTCTGTAGCCCTTGGAGGACCTGTACCCCCTGCCTCCGTGTTTCTGAAGCACACTGTCCCCTCGGCCGGCAGGTGTCGCCAGGGTCACAGCTGCTGCAGAAGAGCATAGGCCAGTCGTCCCCAAGGTTCCTCTTCTTTACTCTCCATCAGGCCTGCGCCTCCTGGAGCAAGGGTCCATTCCCCACATGTTCTGGGGATTTATGACATTAAATAAGAGAATTTCAGGCAAAATGCTTAGAAAGTATATAAAAAATGCTTAGAGTCTTTTAGAAGATCCAACTGCCTACAATTAGTAAAGTGCCGCACACTCTCTCTTTTTTTTTTTCCCCGAACTCGGTTGTTTTTCTTGTTACACAGTTATTGTTTGGTTATTTAAAAAATAGAAAAGCAAAATACAAACACATGAGTACCAACCCTTATTTCTACAGAGGTAGCCACTCTGTCTTCCCAAGGTGGCTCCTTTGTCTTTTTCCCTCTGCACCTACAAGTAGAGATTTACGTGCCATCTTAGTGAGCGCGCCACCACTGCCTGTACTGTTTAATACCCTCGTGGCTCAGACCTTTCTGTGGCGGGAAACGCTCACTCACGGTGTTTCCGTGGGCTCGGCTGCATCCCCGTGGCCAGCTGTCCAGTCGCTTATCCAGCCATCCCCTGCTGGGGGCCACGTAGTTAAACGTCACTGCGGATCACCCTCTTGAGGCTTTTGATGTCTGTCGCCAAGTTGCCCTCCAGGACATGAGAGCTCTGTGGGTGGGGTCCTCGGGCAGAACGCTGGCCCAACCCGGCCTGCTCTTCTGTGGGCTTGGTTGCCATGGGTCAGACTATTCCTTGAAACACCAGGGCGGCTCTAACATGCTTCCTTTCGTCAGTGAGACGTGAGCGGCGGCGGCTGCAGCCATGAAGAGCTCTGTTTGTCTGCACGCTGGCGAGACATCCTGCGGCCTTCCTCCCTTCTGACCCCATCTGCCTGGAGATGGCATCAGGCCCCGCACATTAAGGGCTCAGCCCCACACGACTTCCACTCCCCCCACCCCTGCCCACTTCAGATGCCAATCAACAGTCCAGCTTGTCCTCTGGGTTTCTGGCCAGGTGGCTGTACTTTGGAGATTCCCGTGACCTTGTGCTCCTAGAACTCAGGCAATCAGTTTACTTACCAGATGATCGGGAACCACGAAAGGATGTGACCCAGGAACGGCCAGATGGCGGAGATGCAGGGGCAGGTGTGGAGGAGGGGCACCAGGCTTCCCCGCCCCCTCTGGCACCCCACCCTCCTGGCACCGTCCATGTTCACCATTGTGGGGCTCCCCATACCCCATAGTTGAGGAACGTCGTCGGGGGCTTTGCCGTGCACGTACACATGATCGATCACGTCATGGCCATGCTGATTGAGTCAGCCTCCGGCCCTTCCCCGCCCACAGATGGGGGCTGCGGGATGGGGGCTCCATCCTTAGGGCCTTTCTCACAATTTTTTTGTCATGCACATAAGCTCAAGTAGAGCTGAAAGGGGCTAGTTATGAACAGTAAAGGATGTCCTTACTCCTTACTCCTTACTCTTATCACTTAATTCCAAGCTTTTAGAACTTTACGCCAGGAGCTGAGGTGAAGACCAAGTACATGTGTACTGTTATAAGTCACACATCACAAGGACTCAGGTGGTGCTGAGACCTGGTATTTATGAGCTGCGGCGGGGTTGTGGGGTCTCGGGGTCACAGGGCCTCGGCCGCTGAGGAGCCTACATCGGTCTGTGTCCCCGGCATATGTGCTTATAGCGAGCGGCAGGTGGTGGGAACTGAGAAGGCTAGTGAGTGTGTGTCCTGTTGAAAACTCAGAGTTTAGCTGGCCCAACTAAAACTTCTCTCGGAGCTGAATTTGTCCCATTAGCCTCCAGGTGACGAGCCCTAGTTAACCTGTTGATCTCCCTGTCGCCTGGAAACTGGAGATTCTCAAGAGCACAGCGTGACCGGCTTGTCACGTCTATCCCAGCACTCTGCAGGCCGGGCCTCTGTCGCCCCTGCTTCCGGTGATGCACCGGGCCAGCCGTGTCCGCTTCCATTCCTGCCCCAGCAGGTTTGCTCTGCAGGTGACGGGGGTCTTTTCCTCCTTGTCCTAGATCGTTGGGATCATCACTCGACACAACCTGACCTACGAATTCCTGCGGGCCCGGCTTCGGCAGCATTACCAGACCGTCTGACAGCCCGGTGCGGCCTCGCCGCCACACCCCAGCCCACCCTGTCCCGGGGCTGCCCGGGGGAGGGGGCGGCTCGCTCATGCTTCGCTGCCACAGCCGGCTGGGGCTGTCAGGACACTGAAGATTCCCACTCACCCACTCGCTCGGAAAGTCTGCGTTCATCGAACACTTCGGCGGTCAGCGGTCCTGGGGATGGTATGTTGGACTGCGAGAGCCTGGGCCTGTCTGATCTTCTCAGCAAGTATCTTCCTGTTTCCTGCTCCCTGCTCTCTTGCCGTCCAGCCTGGGCCCCGGCCCCAGGCCCCTCCACCCGACGCGTGCCAGGACCAGAGGGGGCGTCAGGCCTCAGCCACGGGGGAGTGATGCCCAGAGCAGTTTTCCTGCCCTCTTCTGCTGCTTTCCTAGGGAACCCAGGTGTTGCCTTAAACTGTAACAGGAGGGGCTTTGGCCAAGGCAAGTGCTGGGGCGAAAGCCAGTTGCAAAATTAAGGGAATTACCAAATTTAGAGACTGAACCACAGATAATGCATGTGTCGGGGGGACCTTCCAGCATTGGGACTCTTGACAGGTGCCCAGTTTATTTGAAGGGAAACACGGCTTCCAGGGGGAGCTGCTGCTCTGGGCTTACCTCCTCAGAAGCGCCGCCCTCCAGAAGCACAAGTCCCACGGACCGTCCCTGAAGGAGAAGTCCGATGGGACGGTCCGACTTAAAGCCGCCCCAGTTTTTAGCATTTACCGTGGCCCATCCCTCGTCCCTCCCCTCTGCCCCGAGTTACTGACTTCCCATGAGTTCTTCCACGTGTCTTCCTGGAGATGCAGCCACAGCCCAGGTGTCTCCACCCCACCCCCCGCCCCATTAGATAAAAGGGCGCCCTGTGATATTGCTTGACCCGTCTCTGGGGAATGATACCGTTACATCCGAGATGGGCAGAAGCCAGTCCTGGGCCAGTGAGCACTACAGGAACATGATACGGCCTAGAAGCCAGATTAGGACAGAACAAATGGCTTATTCCAGGAGGAGGGCGTGTGCCCGTCACACACCTGTCTTACCCCCTGCTGCTAGCCGTCCCCAGCCCACTCGGGCCAGCCATGGAAACTGTGTTGCCAGGGGATAGGGGTGGGAGGGACCCCTGCCAGCACGTGCCCCAAGGCCCGAGCACGAACCCTGGAAAAGGAGCCTCTCTGTCTCTCCAGGCTGGGGGGCCCTTTCTGGGGGCCCCCAGAGCGAACGCTTCGTTTCGGCTATTTTGCACTTACTTTCCACTCGACCTCTGTGCCCTCCCCCTGACTTGCGTCCACACCCTAGGCCTGGGGTCACGCAGCCCTGGCGGATGTGCTTTGGGACCCAAGAAGGCATTTATTTGCATCTAAGTTTGCGTCGGGTTATTTTGTCAGCTGTGGCAGTTCCCCGAGAACATGGGCGCCTGCCCTTGACAACGCTGTCCTCTCGCGCTCTGCCTCTGGCCGACCGCCATTGCCACGACTCCCGTGCGGTCTGGGAGCGCGCGCCCGTCTCGCTGCGGCCGGCCCAGGTCTTGTGCTCAGCACGCTCTGCTCCCCTAAGTGAGGCGGCTGTTTCAGGATCTTTCCCACCTGGCTCCACCCTCCCCCCCAGTCCATCCTTCCCATTTTCTTATCTCTTTGACCAAAAATACTTTGACTTCTAAATGTTTCAGCTTCCTTGGATGCACTCGACCTGTGAGATGTGGACGGGGGCCCCAGTAAGTAGTTGGGGAAATCACAAGGACCAAAAAGGCAAGCGCTTCTGGATGTGATCGTGTTCAGCCCACCGCCAGTTCATTTTAAGGCAGCACCCAGAGCGAGGCCGCGTTACTCGTTCCTTTTATCAAGAGGGAAACCCAAGTCAGGAGAAGTCAGGACCGCCTGTCACAGACACCGAATCCCCTCTTCCCGTACCTCAGTGAAACTGGCAGGACTAAGGTCCTGCTGGGGGGAACGTCTGGCCTCCAGGGCTCTGGGGTCACCAGCTGTCTGCCTCGAAGCTGCCCTGGGTGAATGTTGTTGGAATTTACCGCCCCTGCACTTCCGGTCCCCAGACACTTCATCCCCACTAGACTAGCCCAGAGGTAACTGGCAGAACGCACACGCCTCCCTCCGCATGAGCTGACTGCACGGCCACGAGGTCCCAAACTCAGGCCCATCTGGAAAGGCACGTTGCTTCTTGTCGTCCGTGGGCGTCTGCCCTTACCAGATTAGCCCAAAGAGAACCACTGCCCCACTTGTAACAAATAACTGGAAGCCTCACTCCTTTGATAGTTAGAAACCCACGTTGTCCATGTCTCACCTATTACCAGCCCCGTCGCCCCCGGCGGTGGGGCACGTCCACACGCACAGCTGCAGGGGGCTCGGGCCAGCAGGCCGGTGTTCTGTGTGCCTGCCCGTCTCCCGCTAGGTGTTTCACGGTCCCCAGCTGAGCGGCCTGGGAGGTAGGGAGCCAGAGTCCCTCCCGACCCTGGGACCTTGGCGCTCCGGGAGGATTTGCTCATGACCTTATTTAACCAACGGTTCCTGGCTGGGATGGACGCTTGCCTGCTTGCTTGACGTTTCTGATGCAAAACTGTGTACTGCCACAGCCGTCGGAAAGAAAGCAAGCCCGCGGAAAGGCCGGAAGCTCCGTCCGGGGCCCTGTAGTGCCGGTGTGCAGTATTATCCCACAGCTCCCGATCGTGGCAGGCTTCCTTTCTGTTCGCACTGTTGGTTTAGACAGTAATACTAGCTAATTCTGTTGTGTACATACATTGTAATTTTTTTTTTAATTTGTAAAATTCTATTTTTATTTGAACTTTTGGAACTTGGAAGTTCTCATTGTAACCGTAACATGTCAGAATAAAGTGTGTTCAAATCTGTCTCCTCTAACCTCTTGTCTCCATGGGGCTGGTTGTAGAGTGGTATGTGATTTTCATTTTACGCCTTCCACAGTGTAAACATCACAAAGCCAGAGAGTAGACTGACAGGCTCAGAGGTCTCCTTCTAAAGCCTTGCCAACAAGACTTCATTCCCGGGGGTCCACCTGCTCCCAACTTAGTCCTTAGCAAAAATCACGAAGTTCCCAGTCTTCTCTCCCTTCAAATCAATGCCACGTGATCTTGTTTGCAGCTGCTTTCCTCCCATAAAAACCTACCCGTTCCCTCAGCTGCTGCTGCCCACAGCAGGAGACGGAGGAGCTGTGTGTGTTCTGACAGTGCTGTGTTTAGGAGTCTGCCCCACTCACAGGTTCCCCAATACCCAACCAGAAGAAGTACAATCAATGCCAAGGCTGTAGACGTTTGGGGCTGGCTTCTGTGCTGCCATCTGTCTCGGCTCTCTGTTTTGCCAGAAATCGGATTTTCTTGGTCTTCAGTTGATCTGCCTCAAGTTGCCATTCCACCAGCACTAGAAATCGTCTCCGTCAGTGCTGTCCCCCTCCACCTGTCCCCGGGTTTCCTGAACTCCAGGGACACTATCTGTGCATTTGGCCCTGTCCGTTCCATTTGAGGAGGATCCACCGTGTCACAGTGACCCCCTTGGCAATCTGCCCAGTTCCCCACACTTCCCTCCTAGCAGCTCCCACTCCCCGGACCTCAGGAGCCATGTTTGGACACTTTTTCCCGTCTGCTCCTGTCCTTACCAATCCTCTGCTTTTTGGTCCCCCCCCCCCCTTTCTGTGTTCAAAGTGCACATGAAGAAGAGATTTGTTGGAAGTGGTTAGATTAGAGATTTTTTTTTAAAGATTTTATTTATTTATTTGATAGAGATCACAAGTAGGCAGAGAGGCAGGCAGAGAGAGGAGGAAGCAGGCTCCCCGCTGAGCAGAGAGCCCAATGTGGGGCTCAATCCCAGGACCCTGAGATCATGACCTGAGCCGAAGGCAGAGACTTTAACCCACTGAGCCACCCAGGCGCCCCTAGATTAGAGATCTTACCTCGGCCCCCCCCTCCACTCCCCGTCAACTCATTTCTGGCCTCCCCTCCCCCTATAAAGAGTGAATGACTATTTACTCCCCCTTTTCCTGATTTCTATGCAAGACTAAGACAATTGGGCTGACGTTAGAAAGCATGGACTAGGCCATGTCCTGCAGTGGTGCTGAACAGGCATTGACCTTCAAGGAGTTTACAATCCAGAGACAGAGAAACGACCACCTACCAAGGCAAATTGTGTCATATTATAATTGTTATACACAAAACACCACCGGTGCCGAGCTCAGTTCATATCGAGCACGTGGTATCGGGGACAGCTTCAGGGACGAAGTTGCATTGTCCATGAGCCTTGATTGTGTAGAATGTTCTCGGGAGAACTGGATAAATGGCATTACAAGAAGAAGGGACAGGATAAATAAGGGGCAGAAAAGTGCACATGTCGGTGACCAGAGGGGGAGGGGGTTGGAGGAATGTCAGATTCTGACGTGGAGAGGGGATGTGTAGAGTAGAGCATGGCTCCCTGTTGTGGGTGAACTTGGTGCCTGGCATTCTCTGCTTCTTAGAAGCAGATAGAAAGAAATGGCATCTTCTCTGGTCCCCTCCACCGCCCCCCACCCTACCCCTCACCCATCCAAGTACCTGGGACCAGAATTAGAAAAAGCTGGTGGTTACCTTTTAATTAAGTCTAAATACCCAAAAGGCAGTTTGTCAACAAAGCAAACATCTCTTTCTTCACTTTGCTTAACAAAGGCACCAATCTGGGGGCTGTTGCTGGTGGGGGAGGCTCTGCGTGTGTGCAGGCAGGGGGTCTATGGGAAATCTCTGTACTTTCTGCTTAATTTGGCTGTGAACCCAAAACTGCAACCCAAAATAAATCTTATTATGTTTAAAAGGAAGGAGAAAGAAACAGTCTTCTTCTCTGCCACAAAAGGAAAACCGGGTTATTAGGCTGAGAAAAAGAAAGAAATCACGCCAACCAAACCTTTGGCTTCTGTCCGTGGTGCTGAAATTTATTCACTTTCAAACCGCTTTCAGTAACAGGTGAGTGTCTATCCTAAAATTAAGTGCAAGAGATGGGAGAGGTGGGGAAGCCACAATTAAACCACTTTATCTACATTTAGCATAAAATGTGAGAAACGTTGACAAGAGGCTAAAGCTTGAATACGGTGCTCGTCACGGCTCGATTTGATGGCAATGAGATGTGACAAAGTTGAGTGAGAGACCCCAAGGGATGAGGGTCTCTTGAAGTTTGCCCCCAGGGCCTGGCCCGCCTTTTCCTCCCTGGCCGTTATCTTCGGTACTACAAAGAGAACAGAGACAAATTTGGCTTGGTGACGTGGTCCTATTAGAAAAGTCAACTTCACAGGAGTGTGCTCACCTCCCACCAGCTCCCATTCCAGCCTGACAATCCTGGAACTTTCATGAACTGGGGCACAAGTTGTTCATTAGAAGTCATAAATCAACCCTGGTCATTTCCTTTCTTTTGTTTTTGGTTTTTATTTCTTTTTTAAAGATTTATTTATGTATTTATTGAGAAAGAGCAGGCATGCACGTGCCGATGAGTGAGGGGAGGCACAGAGGGAGAAAAATCTCAAGCAGACTCCCCACTGAGTGTGGAGCTCAACTCAGGGCTTGATCCCACAACCTGTGAGATCTTGACCAGGGCTGGAACCAAGAGTCGGATGCTGAACCGACTGAGCCACCCAGTTGCCCCAGCCTTGGTCGTTATCATTTAATTCTTTGGGATCTGACACTTCTGGGGAGAAACATGAGCTCCCAATCAACAGAATGATGAGGACTTGGCCCCACGAACATTTTAAGTTCCCAATGCTCGTGGCAGTAACTATTTTCCCCTTGGCATGTCCTTGGCAGCCTGTAGCTGAGGATGACGTCATTGGCCCAACTTGAGACAAACATTTCAAAAGAAGTAAACTTTACTCTGGTCTCTTTACTGCAGGAGGCATGCTCTGGTGGTGTTCTTTGACAAGGTCTGAGTCTCAGTGAAACCACAACTTCCTTCCTCCCCATCCCGTATCCATTCCCAGCTCCTCTTACCCGGAAGCTGTTGCAGCCCAGTCCGCTCTGGGCTCCAATCCTGTCCATCCTGCCTCCGAAGCAGCTGGACCTCCGCAAGCTCCGAGGGGCAGCAAGCAGTGCCCTCAGCTTGCTTTTCAGGAGACCAGATCTATCGGAGGAGTCCCAGGGGCTCCGCCCAAGGGCACCCCCATCTCTCTGGGCTGGGTTGACCTCCCCTGTCCAGGGAGGCACGTCAGGGAGGGGGCTGAGAGCCGCCCCAGCTTCCTCATTCTGCTCGTTTAGTACTTGTTGGGGCACGACCTCCTCTTCTAAAGGCATCTTGTCCTCCAAGTGGTCCAGCAAATTCTTTACAAAAGGAACACACAGGGAAAAGGAGAGGTCTCACTGACCTGCACAGTGTCACAAAGCCCCCTGGTCCCACACTGGGGCCCCTGTCCTGGCCCTACCTTGAAATCCATCAGGTCTGCATTGGACACAGAGCCATACACGGGGTTAGCTCCTATTTGCCCCAGGAGCTGAAATGCCAGGAAGAGGAGGAAGCTGGTGGTGATGGTGGGGGAGCCCATGCTGGCGTCGCTCAAGGAGTGGCCTGGTGCTGGCTTGCTTCTCTGTCCTCTCCTTTCCCCTCTCAGCCTCCGTCCGCCTCTGTCTCCCAGCTGCCCTGCGCCTCCTCTTTTTATAGCCCCCCAGCTCTCCAAGAGCGCGAGAGGGACGGAACCCTCCCCATTCTGTCACTTACAGTGATAAAGCAGCTGAATGAGGAGCAGCAGAAGATGGCCTTTTAAAGCTATCAGTCCGGCAGAGCCTGTCACTCCCCTCCACCTTGAGCAGCCCCAACAGCCCCGGACCCTCGGCTGCAAGAGCCACATTCTTGTTGATTTGCCTCAAGAGGTTCCCACTTCAAAGGTGTGAGAAGAGCAAAAAAGAGTCCTTGGTTATCTTACAGCGATGCCTGGGGCTCCTTTCTCCTCAGCAACGGGACCCAGGCAGGGAGACAGAGGGTGACAGTTGGCCGGCGCCCAGCTCCCCCAGTTGGTTTTCGGCTCAGCTGTCAGGGCATCCAAATAAGGGCGGGTGGGGAGGAAGTGGCAGGCGGCCTGCAGCTCGGGACAAATTAGTCCAGATGCTCAAGCTGGCCTCACACCTGACTCATCAGCCATGAGGGCAGCCTTCTCCCTCCAACTGGGCTGCCCTCCCTCCCAGCGGTCACTCTCAGCGGTCAGGTGAAGAGGGAGTTATTTTTTAGAGCATTAAGTCAGCCGGGAACCAAATGGGATGAGTGTCCCGAGGGTTCCACTCCTGGACGTAAACACCAAGAGAAGTTTTGGGAAACAGAACCATCCTTCTGCCAAGCATCTCCTCCTTCCCCTCCATCGTGTAGAGGGAGGTGGGCACTTAGAGACGCCAACATTTTCATTCCGTCACCTTGCTGCTTGTAGAAACTCAGACTCTGGATTTGAAGCTTCTAAACCTCCCAACCCTCCCGGGAAAAGTCCTTTGGCGAGTTGGCCGACGGAGTGAGGGGGATGTGAGGGTGGCACACAGTTTCCCTTAATACCTTCCATGTAACTCCTTCGAGGCCGGGCGAGTGATGAGCCACCAAGGCCTCCGTTTTCCTGGCTGCCAGGGAGAAATCACAGGGGGCATGGCTGTCCACATTTAACACGTGGCCCCCGTTCCCTAAGCTCAGCAGTCCGTGCTAGCCTGTTATATGATGCCCATGTACTGGGGGGCGACCACAGCATTCGAAGGGCCGAGAGACCTCACTGCAGCCCCACACAAACCAAGTTACACACATTGTCACCGCCTTCTTGCCCCCATTTGTAAAAACCTGCTCTACCCACCTCTCCAGGTTGTCAGGTGAGCAACTAATGCGTGAACGTGTTGTGGTGCGCTGCCTAACTGCAGGATGGCGCTCATGGTTGCCTTTATTGACCAACTGTAACGGGCCAGAAACTCTACTGAAAGCTTTGTGTGCATGATCTAATTGTCCTGGCCGCCCCACGAGGCAGGTGGTGTTGCTCCCATCCACAGAGGTTACGTCACTTGCCCAACCAAGGTCATTGGGCTCCTAAGCCACACAGCCAGGTCTTGAACCCCGGGTCTGACGCCAATGCCCGTATTCCCAACCATCCTACAGATGCAGCTGCTGTCACTTAGCATGATGGTCCCTTACCAGCCCTCTCAGTGCAGTTCCTGATTGAATAACCCCCTGCCCCCACTCTCCCAGGCAGCCTCTGAACAGCTCCTTCCCCCGCCCCCACTCCCTTGGCAAGTATGTGTGTGTGTGTGTGTGTGTGTGTGTGTGTGTGTGTGTGTGTGGGCTACCTCAAGGAAGGGGTCCTCCAAGCCCCACGACCTGTTGGCACACCTGACATGTTTTGATGTACTCCACGGGACTCAAGAAATGCGTGTGGGATGCCCAGGTCTGCCCTGAACCGACCCCTCCCCGGCTGCTCGCATTCCCTGGCCGATCAGGTAGAGAGGCTGCTCTGCGGGAGAACAAGAAATCGGGGCAGTATGTGGGGAGGACAAGAAATCGGGGCAGTATGTGGCCGGAGGTATGAGAGGTGTCCGGGGTGGTTTTAGTCTAAGACCTAAGGAGAAAGGAGCCCTCTCCAGTAACCTTACCTGGGTCAGCTGAACACAACCTAAAATCCCAAGTGGGCGCAACCCTGAATACGAACTCTGGGGGTAAAACCCCTCGTATCCTGATGAGCCCCTGGAATGTGCTCACAGCTTAATCGCTCCGTTGGTGTTGGCGTTGGCAGGGGTTATTATTAGCAAAGAGGATTCAGTGAGCAGCCACACTGGGGGAACCGATGCTCCTTGCTGTGTGCGTCACGCGGCCTGTCTCCTGGAGATGCCCTTTCAGACAGGCAGCGGCTACCGGAAGGGCGTCGTGGCAGGTGGCTCGGCCCCAGAGGGCTGGTGCTGCTCCTCTGTCCTGAGCCACTTCTGAAGTCTGTTAGTGGCCCAAGGACCAGCAGAAATGCTGCACTAGGGTCCAGGAAGAGAATTGCAGAATTTTCCCAGCTCCTTTTATGAAAGTCACTGTCCCTCTTTCAGACCGAAACCGGAGCAGGGCATTAGTGTCTGAGTCTCTTCTACAAGCCGGGAGTTTTTGTTCAGTTTCGTTTGGGTTTTGTTTTGGGGGGGGGGGGTTGTTGTTGTTGTTGTTGTTTATTTGTGGAAGGGGAGTGGCAAGAGAAAGAATATTCAGTTTTGCTGCCCAGAGGACTTCCCATAGAACCAACACTCCCTCCTACCCTGACAAGACTTAGTGGGAACACAGGTCTCAGATACACTTATTACCTCAATCCCAGCAAAGCATTCGATTTGTGCCTAAAACAGAAAATGGCTTGATGTAAATTTCCCTTCTTTCCCATGTCCCTGCTCAACCTGGGGGGGAGGTGGGAGGGGGTGTATATGTGGAGGAGTCGATCTTTAACACGGTGCTTAGAAGCGAGCCTGGAGGAGTGAAATAGAAGAAAAGCAAAAGGCACAGAAAACCAGATCCACCCCCGACCCCCACCTCTCCCACTAACCAAAAAATCAAAAGCCTTTATTTCCTGATCACTGGAAAGAAGTTGTCTTAGTCATATGTCGGAAGGAGCGTCGCAGATGGGTGGGAGAATCCAGAACTGCGGCTTCTCTGGTCTCCATCTCAGCATTTCCGTTTTAGGATCCTCTGTGGGGATGCTGCGGGCAGCTTTGGTCCCAGCAATGCAACACAAGTAAAAAATCGGTATGAGAAACCCTTGGTGTCCACGGTATGATTCTGTCGGACACAAATGATCTAACCCAGAAGCCCCAGTTGGGAGAAATTGGTAAGACCCTGATGCACATTTGGGGATCGTTATTTCTGATTTTGAAAATGATGTTCTGGGGGCGCCTGGGTGGCTCAGTTGGTTAAGCGGCTGCCTTCAGCTCAGGTCATGATCCCAGGGTCCTGGGATCGAGCCTCGTGTCAGGCTCTCTGCTCAGCAAGGAGTTTGTTTCTCCCTCTCCCTCCGCATGTCGCTCCCCCAGCTTGTTCTCTCTCTCTCTCTCTGTCAAATAAATAAATAAATTTTAAAAAAAATGATGTTCTGTTTCTTTGGTTCAACTTGGAAGTCCCTGGCCCTGGAAGTTGGCAACAGCTTCCCTAGAAAGCAAGGCCCAAGACAAAAGTCCAGTTGCTAAAGCTTTATGGGCGTGGGGGCAGTTCCGTTCAAGGGAAGCAGGAGCGAGGGGAAAAGAAAAGCGAGACGGTGTGTGTTATTTAACTACGGCTGTGTAACAAATGACCCCAGACCTTAGCGACTTGAAACAAGGCACATCTTTACCAAACAGTTTCCGTGGGTCAGGAATCTGGCCCTCTCCAGCTGGGGTCCCTTGTTCAGGGCTCCTGGAGGCTCCAGTTAAGACATTAGCTGGGACTGCCATCGGCTCAGGGTTTGGCTGGAGGATCTGCTTTCAAGTTCACTCCTGTGTCAGCTGAGAGACCACAGCTCCTTGACGACCGTTGGCTGGAGGTCAGTTCCTCACCACGTGGGCCTCTCCAGAGAAATGCAGCTGACTTCCTCGGGTCCAGAGAGAGATTATGTAAGCTCTTCACAACCTCCTTGTCCTGGAAGGGACATCCCAAGGGCACAGGTACCAGGAGATGGGGAGCCTCAGAGCTCTGGAGGCCAGAGTCTGGAATGAAGGTGTCATCGAGGCCATGTTCCCTCTGAGCCCTGTAGGGCGGAGATGTCCTTGCCTTGTCTGGCTTTTGGCACCTGCCGGCGCTCATTGGCACTCCTTGCCTTGTAGACACAGCACCCCAATCTCAGCCTCTCTCATCACATGGCCTTCCTCCCTCACTGTGTTTCTCTCTCCTCTTCCTATAAGGACAACAGTCATATTAAATTAGGAGCCGCCCCACACCAATCAGACCTCATCTTAACTCATTCCTTCTACAGTGAGACTGTTTCCCAATAGGGTCACATTCTGAGGTTATGGGGGTTTAGGACTTCAACATATCTTTTGGTTAGACAGAACACAATCCATAACAGACACTTTGTCTGTGGGGTCCTTGCTAAGTCCTGTCTCTCACTGGTTAAGTGCCAAGCCCACCCTCACCACAATCCTGCCCCAAGGCCATGAACTCCCCTTCCCTCTGGGCTGCCTTACCCAGCTCCCTTAGGCAGCGGCTGGGGAAAGCTGAGATTCCATCCACTCATGAACTGCCTTGGCAACCTCTCCTTGCCAGTGAATCCCGCCTTGTCGTGGGACGGGGATGGGTGGTACATGGAGGCGGAGAGGGGGGTCAGACGGCAGCTATGAGAACCAGGTCAGCCATTGTGAATGCATCCAATGCAGCCATTGCTGCGTTCTCTGGGAAGCCAGAGATACAGGCCAAGCATGAGGCAGTGCACTTGTCCGCAGCCGAACTCCATGGTTGTGCTAGTCCAGCACCAAGCCAGAACGCACACACCCTGATTACAAAAAAAATTTCTGGGGGCGCCTGGGTGGCTCAGTGGGTTAAAGCCTCTGTTTTCAGCTCAGGTCATGGTCCCAAGGTCTTGGGATCAAGCCCCCCATCGGGCTCTCTGCTCGTGGGGAGCCTGCTTCCCTTCCTCTCTCTCTCTCTACCTGCCTATCTGCCTAATTGTGATCTCTGTCTGTCAAATAAATAAATAAAATCTTTTTTAAAAATTTCTGAATGATTGCATCAAAGAGTTTGCCTTCAGTCCCTCTCTTACCCACTCACCCCTCCAAGGCACATACCTGAGAGTCCGCCACTGCGCCCTGCCCTCCCTGGGGCCTTCACGGGAAGGAGGAGTCACCCTCTGGCTGAAACATGAAGGTTCAGGGCTCTCCCTTGAAGCAGGAAGAACCAGACAAGTGGAGAGGCCGGTTAGAAAGCTGATGAGCGGATGTCAGCGGGAGTGGTGAGGGCATAAACCAGGAACGGAAGTGAAGGATTGTGTGTAGGAGACGCCAGGAACAAGGTGGAGTGGACACGGTGCCCGCCTGGGTGGTTCAGCCAGAGAACGGAGTCCAGGCAGATTCCTGGGGCTCTAATCATTGAGGCGGAGTCCCAGGAGAAGCTTTAACCGTCTGCGAGTTTCTTAGTTTAGGTTCTCCTGAACCTGAGAGAAGGATCCAAGCATAAGGAGTTTCCTTCGGACACAATCCCAGGAAACATCGGCAGAATGAGGATGTGACTAAGAAAAGAAGGAAGTCAGTGACCACCACGGCCAAGCGGAGCTCCGTCCCCTGTCCCTGCGCTCTGAGAACACGTGTAAGATGCATGCCACCTGTGAATCAACGGTGCTGGGGTCTTTGAATGCCGCCCGCCGCCAGATGTTGGTTGAGTGCGGCTCCTGGTTGTTGTCAAGTCCTCAGCACTGCCTGCCTGCCCCGATGGGAGCCAAGAGGGCTGGGGCTGCCAGAGAAAATCATTGGGCAGAAAAGCACAGTGCTGCTGGATAGAAGCAGGCAGAGGACAGGAGACTATCCACGTGAGAGTGGGAGCCAGGGTCCCAGGGCAGGTCCAGAGTTTGGTTGTGGAGATGTTCCAGAACACCCAGGCAGGTGCATGGGGCTGATGGGAGAAATGGGTCACCTAGTGAAACAGGACTGGTTGTCGAAGCTAAGGGGAGTGCCTGAAAAGTCCTCCCGAGGCCAAGATGGAAGGCTGAGAGCTGCCACACGAGCAAAGACAGGTGGCCAAGTTTGCTTCTGTTCAGATCTGGCCCCGCAGGAGAAATACATTCTTTTTTCCTGCCACAGATTCTCAGAAGGGTCAAAGCTGCCACAAGAGGGATGGAGAAGGACTCAGCATTGAGCCCTTGAGAGTCACAGGTGCACAGTCGGTGGCACGAAAGGAAGCATTCAGTCCCAGTGTTGTCCTGACTTTTGTAACCTCCACACTTGGCACCCAGCAAAGCTCATCCACCCTCTACTGAAATTCTCTCCAGCTCCAAAGCCTTGGGTCTCAGGCCTCCTGGGCTCTATGATCACCAGCGCTTGTTTCTGGGAAGATTATAGCGACAAGCATTTATGGAGATACATAATCTGGCAGCTTCGTTGGGCAACGTCGATAGTAGGGAAGTCAGGGAACTTAAGGCCATGGCTACAGTTATGTTGGGGAACGTTTGGAGGGGCCAGGGTCACAGGTTAGGGAAGGCAGGGTTTAAAGGGCATCTGTAGACAGAGCATGTGTGCCCTGCTTCCTGAACACAGAACAATGGGGAGCTCAATGGATGTGGCTCCGTGGGGTACGTCGGGCTGCCCACGCCCATCCTCCGGCAGACATATCTGGCTCCCTTGCATGTCTCTCTGAAGTCCTCCTTCCCAGACTTTTGCTTGGGGAAAAGGTCCAAGAAACAGATGTATCCCACATACAGACTCTACCACCTGAGCCCTACATAGGGACGAGCCAGACTCACCGGGAAGAATTCTGGAGTGCTGGCTGGATGTGGGGAGTGGGTGCTCTGGGAGACGTCTGCCTTCATCACCTGAGCAGAGGGAAGAGGTTGCCAACAGGCAATTGAACTGAGTGATGCCATTAGGAGGGCAATTCTCCCTCCCACCAGCAAGCCTGATTCACTGACTTGGGAGGGGACGGGGGGTACTGTGGTTAGGGACCTGCATGCTAAACCAGGTTCTGTAGCCTTGAAGCCTGGCTCTGCCACTTGCTAACTGAATGATCTTGAGCAAGTTAACACATCCCTGTGCCTCAGTTTCCCTTCTGTTAAAATGGGGGATAATGAGAGTTCTTCGTAGATTTGTTGCAAGGACTACACAAGTTAACAGACCTGTACCAGGAGCCTAACGAGGCCCTGATGAAAGCTCACTACACTGAGTCCTCATTGCCCTCCCCAGGTCAGACACGCGAGGCAAAGATGGCTCACGATTTTATTAGAAAGGATCTCACTCCTAAGCCTCATTTAAGAAATCTTAATTGATGGAGTGCCTGGGTGGTTCAGTGGGTTAAGCCTCTGCCTTTGGCTCTGGTCATCGTCTCAGGGTCCTGGGATCGAGCCCCGCATCAGGCTCTCTGCTCAGCGAGGAGACTGCTTCCCCCCGCCCCGCCCCCGTCTGCCTCTTTGCCTCCTTGTGATCTCTCTGTCAAATAAATAAATAAAAATCTTCTTAAAAAAAGAGAGAGAAAATCTTAATTGATGTCGTCAGTGGCTATCCCTAATCTCCGGCCCACACTGAGTCGATGAGAACTACAAAAAGCCCAGCCCACTTGCAGTACCCCTCGCTCAAAGAAATACTGGTTGAGAACAGCAGGAAGGTTAGGAGAGAGAAGTTCAAGGCCAGGAGCAAGGGAGAGAGCACAGGGTCGAGTCACTCGTCTCTCCGCCCATGTCTCGGGGCCGGCATTCTCGGCCCTATCCTACCAGCTAAGGGGCTTTGGTTTTCTGGGTCTCAGTTTTCTCATCCATCAAGCGGGGATAAGAATAGTCCTGTCCCTTCTGCAGATCTAGGATCATAAAAGGCATCCTGGGCAAAAGGGACTGACTGCATGAGCTGAGGTCTGGAGACGCCTGAAAGCCGTGGGGTGTGACCCGGGATGTCTGGGACACAGGATGCATGGGGAAGGGGGGCCCATAGAGTACAGGGCAGGGACCCCCATAGGAATCCCTGCTGAATAAAACAACACAGTAGGACTCCGGTGGGTGTCCCCTTTTCTGCCCTAGCATGAGAGGTTCCTCTCTCTGAGGCAGAGAGAAAGTGAAGATGTTGATCCCCCAGAAGAGGGGCACCCTAAAATGGTGGGCCTGTTGCCAGACACTCCTAAACTTCTGGGCTTGGGAAATGAAAATGTTATTAAACTCTGAGTTTTAAAGGTCTTGACGGGGAGACATCACCAATTAAATGTTGGAAGCTGAGGTTTGAGGCAGAAAGGAGGGCTCATCCCCATTTAGAGATGCATCCAAGCCTCTCTCTCTCTCTCTCTCTCTCTCACACACACACACACACACACACCGCCCCTAATCTTTGAGATTTTAGCTCAGACCTCCTGGAAACAGCCATCACCAAGAGAGAACACCCCTGATGGCAGAATTCCAGGCAGAGGGAAAACTAGGAAAAGACACTGACACACACCCTCATTTGCACAAATGTATCAAGGCCCATTTCCACTCCCAGGGAGCAACTACCACCTTTGAAAAGGCAGTTTCTGTAAAGTGTCTTGAATGCTTGAGGTATTTATAGACATTTCAGAACACGAAAAACCGTTCAAGAGAAGAGAGGCTCCCCCAACCCTGCTTGACCAGCCCTGATGCCATCTCCCCACCATACCATTAGAACACTTTTGGAATCTTCATGAAAACAAAAGGTTTGGGTTTTTTGGGTTTTTTTAGTTCTTATTTTTTTATTTTTTAAAGATTTAGTTTATTTATTTGACAGAGAAAGAGAGAGAAAGATCACAAGTAGGCAGAGCAGCAGGCAGAGAGAGAGGCGGAAACAGGCTCCCCGCTAAGCAGAGAGCCCAACGTGGGGCTCGATCCCAGGACCCCGAGATCATGACCCGAGCCGAAGGCAGAGGCTTAACCCACTGAGCCACCCAGGCGCCCCTAGTTCTTGTTTTTTAAATGATTTATTACTCAATGCACTGGGACAAATCAGTTTCAAAAGAACCTATAATGTTGGCTTTATTTCACCATGGAAAATTTGTGCTCGGAGGTCAGAACCGTCGTACATAAAATGATTGAAATAAATAAATAAATAAATACAAATAAATACAAATTGCCTCAAAGGGCTCAGGGGGCCTTTGAAGAGTCAGATGCAGATGTCTGCAGCCAGGCTTCCTCTTAATACCTTCGCAGCACTGTGGGAAGAGAGGAAGGGTGATGATGGCATCAGGGGGAGACTGAGGCAGGATCTGATCTTCTCCGCCCCAGGGGCCATCCCTGCCACCATCCCCCACCCCCAGCTGATCTGGATGTTTGAGGCTTTGGAATAATCCCTCTCTCTGGACCTCAGTCTCCTCATCTGTAAACTGGGAATCATCGTCGCCCTGGTGATCCTGACCTCTGCCTCTGCAGCTATAGACAGGTTAGGGGAAGCCAGGAGGAAAATGCTTAGGACTCTTTCTGCTCCAAGGAGAGGCTGCTAGACAATGACAGGATTCCATCCTAAGGTGGTTCTGCCCCTTTTGGTAAGAGAGGCAGGAGGTGGCTAGAAGGGGGTTGGGACTCAATGATGTCCACATTTAATATTTCCAGAAAGACACTCCATAGCCCCAAGGACTGTCAGCAGGAGAGAGTAGCGTCCAGGTGTCCTTTTCTCAGTGTGGTCGCTGGAGAGAGCAAGCCCCAAAATGTCTCCAGCGGTGAAACCCACAGGTATGGGGGAGGGTGACCCAAGGAAGCAGGGAGGGGGCTTTACCATTGCAGCCCAGGCCACTGAGGGAGCCGATCCGGTCCAGCCTCCGGCCAAAGCACCCTGACTTGTGCATCATCTTGGGGCTGCGTAGTCTTCTCAGGGCCTGGAGGACATTGTCCCTGGGCCCAAGGGCCCTGACAGGTGGTTGCTCCTGGGTCTCCCAGGCTTCTGTGGGGCTGTGGTCCTGCTGGAAGGGTCCCAGGGCCATCTGCTTGGCCTGCAGCTCTGAAACTGTGTCCCGCAGGTGGTCCAGCAGCTCCTGCAATGGGTGGGGATAGCCTGAGCCTCAGGGAACCGGCACCTGGGCAGACCCGCCCTCACCGGCACCCAAGTGAACCAAACGCCTTGGGTATGGAGTTCTGGCACCCATTCTCGTCACTTTCTGATTCCCTTATCGCTACTTCCCAGGGTAAACTGAGGACCTCTTGGGACAGTAGCTAAGGACCCCTGAACTCCCGCTACCCGCCGTGGCCTTTAGGCAGGCTGCCGAGCTCACCTGCCTTGCGGACGGCTGGGAGGCGGGGCCAGGCCCACCCAGCGGGTGGGAACGACCTCCTAGTAGCAAGAACAGGACGAGCGGGAGGGCCCGGAGCAGCGCAGTCTGGGGGTCCATGTCGCTGGAGAGAAGTGGAGAAAGAGATTGTCGCCGCCGCTGCTGCGCTTCGTCCCAGGTCACGTCTCACCTCTTCGGGTCCCGCGGGCGCTCTCCTGGATCCTTCGCCAACGTCGGCCTTTTATCCCGCGCCTGGGTTTATCTCTGATTTATCGGCCGCATTCCGGCCCGCTGAGCTCAGGGCGGGGGAATGCGCCCCTCCGCGCGTGCGACCATACTCTCCGGGGGTGGAGGCTGGGGAGAGCAGGCCTTGTATAGAAATGGGCCTGGCCGGGGGGCGGGAGCGCGCGGGAGACATCAACAGGTCCTTCGCCTCCTGCTTCCTCTTTTCCTGCAACACTCCTGGGGCCTTTCCTACCCATCCCCAACCATTCCTGGAGAGCGCAGAGACAACTCCAGCGTTCCGCGGCTCGAAGCAAGTGCGGGGCGCACGGGGTGACTCAGAGCGAGAACAGCCCCAGCCAACACCCCAGCACCGCCGCGCGTCTTCCCTCCCCTCGCCTGCCTGTACTGGGCGCAGGGTGCACCCTGCGGGGCTTCCTGCGCTCGGCCGCTGTCCGTGGTGCTGATCCCTCTGAGCAAACCTAGCGCCGAGAGGTCTTTCTCTCCTCAGTTCAGTCTAGCTAGAAAGACAAGCATGGAGTAGGGACTTCTGAGACCCCTCCCCACCCTCTCACAAACAGCCTGCACTAGGATGTGCATTCTCCAATGTCATCTGATTAAAAGCCTGAGCATGACAAGGAACTTCTGGAATGCTGACCCTGCTTCTATCCCTTAAACGGTAGAGCTTGATTTGGTTGGAATTTTGAGAGGCAAAGCCCAGAGATGAAGTCACCCAGGAATGCTGTCTATCAAATCTCCTCCAGGTGCCAACACCTCCTCTCCCCCACCAAGACAACATGGGACGGAAAAAGCAAAGATGACTGGAAGATTTTTATCTATTTGGTGGAACACTAGAAGTGTGAGGAGTGCCCCTCCCCAGTGCCTCCTTCATCTGATCACCAATGACCTAATTCCCGTTAACAGATGGTCTGGACCTCCTGTCTGTGATTACAAATGAGGCATCAAAGAAAAATGGTCCTGGAAAGAGACACAGCAGATTAAATCCCCCTAAAGCATGCATGACTGATGTCACCACCACTTCCAGATGCCTTGTGATAACAAGCAGCAGGATGAGAGAATGGGATATGGGTGATGGAGAAAAGGCAGCAAAGGGCAGAAGCTGTGACCTTGAAACAAATCTTACCTTAGAAAAATAGCATCTGCCTGATATATGAGAAAAATATTACTGCTTTTCATTTTTCAAACAAGGAAACTGAGCTCAGAGGAATTAATGTGCTTTCTTAGTTGATAAGCGGTAAATCTTGAGTTGCAACCCAGGCAGTCTGACTCCAGACCTGACTCTCTTAATCACGGCCAGGGTGATTGCAAGGGGTTCCTACTAAAAGAAAAAACTGGGTTAATCCACTGTCATCCCTGACAGTATAGAAAGCTGTGTGTGCGAGCACACACATGCACCACAGAAAAAATATACAAAGATTAAGTGTCAGTGAAAGAGACAAGAAAATCCAGTCAGTTGCAGAGCTGAGCCAGAGGGTCAGAGGCTGCTGAGAACATAGAGAGTCCGTAATGCTGGATGGCAGAAGTGTTGGAAGCAAGACAGAGTCCATCAGTTAGCACCTATCAAGAAATGACTCTGCATGTAACCTGTGCCTCACTTACTCTCCTGCAAACTGAACATATGCTCCCTCCTTTCAAGGACTACAAGGGAGAAAATGATGTCTGTGGAAGCCCATGGCATTATGGGAAGAATTAGAAATTCAAAGAATTAGAAATATAATCACACTGAAGGAGATTGTGATCCCACTAGGGAGGGAGTCAGGCCAGGGAAAATAATTAAGTGCTAGATACCCTGACAGAGCCTCCAGTTGCCCCAGCAGATGGGATTGTGGAAAAGATTTTAGGGATGACACAAGACTGGATACAACCTCCAGGATCTTCTGTCCAGTGAAGAACAATATATTATCAATTAGTTCCCACACCAGATCATCCCCACAAACATTTATTAAGTGCCTACTATATGCCATGCACTTTCCATTCCTATTAAGTGGAGCTAATCATACCATCATTGTCACAACATTACTGCATAAGGATTAAATGAGATGGAATATGTTGTAGGCTACATAGTGTTCCCCCAAAGATGTCCATGTCCTAATCTCCAGAACCTGTGAATATGTTACTTGACATGGCGAAGGGGGCTTTGCACCTTGGTTAAAGATCTGGAGGTGGAAAGATTATCCTGGATTATGGGGGAGGGCTAATGTGATCACAAGGGTCCTTATAAGAGGGAAGCAGGAGGATCAGAGTCAGAGAAAATGGAAGGATGGAAACAGGTCGGAGATGAGAGAAGAGTCTACACTATTTCTGGCATCTTTGAAGATGGAGGAAGAGCCCATGAGCTAAGGAGTGTAAGTGGCCTCCAGAAGCTAAAAAAAAGCAAAGAAATGGATTCTTCCCTAGAGCCTCCAGAAGGAACACAAGCCTGCCTGCCAACACCTTGAGTTTAGCCCATTGAGAAAGCATACTTCAGACTTCTGCTCTCCAGAACTACAAGGAAATCAGTTTATATTATTTTAAGGCACTAAGTTTGCCGGAATTTGTTTCAGTAGTAATACAAAATTAATACAGTGTGTGTAAAATGCTAAGCATAGAACCTGATACTTAATAAGCCCTCTGTGAAGGTGGTTGTGGTGGCAGAATTGGTTCTTGCCAGGGTCAAACCTTAGGTGCTAGGTGCTAGGTTCCAGCTGCAGAGAAAGAAATAAGCCTGTTAACTCATTCAAAAACCTTTATCAAAGGTTTGGGGTCACAATGGTCTGGAGTCCAGACTCTGGAATCAGACTGCCTTCATGCAACACCACCTCAACCTTTTGCTACATATGTGATCTTGGGCAAGTTACTTCACCTTTCTTCGTGTTTTCTCATGTCTGCATCACAGGATTGTCACAAGAAGGGAATGGGATCATGCAGATGAAACTAAGCTTCCAGGGCGCTTGGGTGGCTCAGTAGGTTAAAGCCTTTGCCTTCCGCTCAGGTCATGGTCCCAGGGTCCTGGAGTGGAGCCCTGCATCGGGCTCTCTGCTCAGCGGGGAGCCTGCTTCCTCCTCTCTCTCTGCCTGCCTCTCTGCCTACCTGTGATCTCTGCCTGTCAAATAAATAAATAAAAATCTTTAAAAAAAAAACCCCTAAGCTTCCATTAGGAGGTAGGAACACCATAAACAAGACAAATTCTGCTCTCGGGGAGCTGACAGTGCAGGGAGAAAGACACAGTCACAGAACCACCACCGCCCCCTCCACTGGATGATGTGGGGACCAATACGGGAGAGTCCTGGGCACTCTGTAAACACAAGCAGGAATGCTCAGTTGAGGAGGAAGCTTCCTGAAGAAGGTAGTACTGAGCTAAGGTTTTGAAGGATAAGAATGAATTAGCCATAAGGAGGAAGATGGGGAGGGCATTCTGGGCAGAGGTGACAGCTACCACCTCTAATACCTTAGTCCATCTGGGCAGCTCTAACAAAAGAGCACAGACTGCGTGGTTCATAAACAACAGAAATGTATTTCTCACAATTCTGGAGGCTAGGAAGTCCCAGATCAAGGTTCTGGCAGATTCAGTGTCTGGTAAGAGTCCTCTTACTTGTTCGTAAGCAGCTCTTTCCTCTGTAACCCCATATGGCAGAAGGGACAAGGGAGTTCTCTGAGTTCTCTTTTATAGGGGCGCCAATCCCATAGTGAGGGCTCTGCACCCATGACCTGATCACTTCCCAGTGGTCTTGCCTCTTAATGCCTTCACATTGGGGAAATAGGTGTCAACATATGAATTTGTGGGGGAAGGAACACAGACATTTAGTCTGTAACATCTAGGCTCTTGGCAGAAGGAAGAAGCTGCAGAAGAGAGAAGGTCTGGGACAAGTGTGCTGAGCTACAGCTTCCCTCTGACTCTGATCTCCAGCCCTGGGCAGCCATAGAGGGCAACATGAGAACACTGACCACCAGGGGAAGGGGAAGGAGGAAGCAAGGAGCACTGCCCAGGGAGTCAACAGGTATTACATCTCTGCCCACTGCTATCTCATGGTCTGGCTTTACGCAAGGCATTCCTCTGCTCTGGGACTCTGTTTCCCCTTGTGTAGAATGAAGGAATTAGACGAGGACTTCTCACGAGCACAGAAGCCCTGCAAATGTCAGCTGCCCCTAGCTCATGGTTAGGTCTGCTCACCTGCTCCCAGCCCCCGCTAGTGTTTCAATCTTCTATGACGTGCAGACTTTCTCAAAAGCCAGAAAACACCTACAGAAGGGCCATCAGACCCTTCACGGCCATGGCATCAATGCAGGTGCACGCGTAGGGGTGTGTATGTGTGTGTGTGTGTGTGTGTGTGTGTGTGTGTGTGTGTGTAGGGGGCGCTTTGGAAACCAGCCTGAGTGTGCAGCTCTTCTCTGTCCTTGAAGTGAATCTTCAAATTGATGGTTATTGGAGGGAGGTCCGAGCTTGGTAGCCTGGGAGGAAATAGCTATTAACTCTTCCCATCCTGTGCCCAGCCTCACCAGTAATATCTGAAGCATCTGAGTGTAATGGAGGGATTGCCTCTCATTTCTATAACCTCATAAGGAAAGCAAAATCTGAATGGGTCAGGTTCCTCCCCACCACCTCCAGAAAAGCCTGTATTCATTTTGTGCCTCTAGCCGACATCCTGGTGAAATCATTGGAACTCCCTGACCCATAAATGCTGAAGTTCATCTACTTCGGTCTTTGTAGTTATGCAAGCTGATAAATTCCACTCCCCCACCACCACTTTTTTTGCCTAGACCAATTTAAGTTAGATTTCTGTCACTTCCATCCCAAATCTCCCTAACTGACCCAGTCCCCAAAAGAAACTGCACACCTTTTTCTTAGAAATATTAGAAATATTTCTTGAGGGGCGCCTGGGTGGCTCAGTGGGTTAGCCTCTGCCTTCGGCTCAGGTCATGATCTCAGGGTCCTGGGACTGAGTCCCGAATCGGGCTGTCTACTCAGCAGGGAGCCTGCTTCCCTCTCTCTCTCTC